TTTCAGATGTTTATATATATATTTTAATCCTTACCTGAGGCCATGTGTATTGATTTTGGAGAAAGAGGGAGAGAAACATTTATGTGAAAGAGAAACATCAATCAGTTTTTCTCTCGTATGTGCTCTGAGCAGGGACTGAAACTATAACCCAGGCATGTGCCCTGACTAGGATTCGAACCCCCAACCTTTTTGTTTACAGGACAGTGCTCCAACCAACTGAGCCACACTAGTCAGGGCTGTATTTTATATTTTAAGCTTTCAAAGAGTGGGAATCGTGTGTTTGGTAACATGAATATGAATTAACCATGCTGTTAGATTAACCAACATAATACCACTTTACTTTTTTAATGGAGTACACATTCAAGCAAAGACCAAGAGATCAATACTCAGGGTGGCTTCTAGTTGTCTTCACTGTATATAGGCCTCTTTGGCTCCAGAAATATTACTGTCATTTTTTCTGACACAACTCCAAACAAGCTAATATGCTTGATCAGTAAATTTTTATCAGATGCTGCATTAGGTACTAGTCACCAGGTCAAGGAAATAGCAATTTTGTCTTGCAGTTTTAAGAGGGGAGGAGGTGATAGAGAATTGAACTACTTATTTCTTTGGTTTGTCTTCTGTTCCCATTGGACATCAGCTCAGTATTGGACATACACAAAAGAAAATAGTTGGCTGTACAATTCGGCTAACATTATTAGCATATGGTTAATATTGCACTTCAGACAAATAAATGAACTTATCTTCAACACGGGCAATAATGAATGGATAGCTTTTCCTTCATAAATAGTATGAATGGTTTTCTTTTTCTCAAAACTTTCAAGGTAGCCCTGGCTGGCGTAGCTCAGTGGATTGAGCGCGGGCTGGGAACCAAAGTGTCCCAGGTTCGATTCCCAGCCAGGGTACATGCCTGGGTTGCAGGCCATGACCCCCAGCAACCACACATTGATGTTTCTTTCTCTCTCTCTCTCTCTCTCTCTCTCTCTCTCCCCCCCCTCTAAAAAATAAATAAATAAATAAATAAAATCTTAAAAAAAAACAACTTTCAAGGTAAAAGGTAATTTCATCTAGCTATACTCATTCAAGTTTATTTAGAACCTATTTACTATTTCCTTATAAAAGTAACACATGCATATTAAAAAATTTAGAAACAAAAGTATTATAAGCAGTAAAGAATTTTTACTGTCTAATCACTTTATATACTTAAAATTTTTTGAGACCCTATTATATAAAGATTTATATTCCAATTTTGATAACTTTTTCTATTTGAAAAATATATAAATGCTAACAAGGGCAAAGGAAAAGCAAAAATCACTTATCCTTCTACCCAGTGGCACTACTAAAATTGTCAGTTATGTGCTAACAGAATTTTTTCTAGCCATCTATTTTTTTAATTGATGATACTGTACAAACCTTTTAATCCCCTATCTTTTTGTAAAATATTTGAGTATTTCCCACTTCAGCAATATTCTTCTGCAGTGCAGTTTTTTTAAAGAATTTATTTATTAAAATAAAAGAATTTACTTATTTATTTTTAGACAGAGGGAAAGAGAAAGAGAGGGGGAAAAAATCCATTGGTTATTGCCTCTTATATGTACCTGCACTGGGGACCGAACCAGCAACCCAGGCATGTGCCCTGATCAGAAATCAAACTAGCGACCTTTGCTTTGCGTGATGATGCCCAACCAGCTGAGCCACAGTTTTTAATTGGTGCTCTGTATTTCTGTTGTGTTGGTGTACTGTAATTTCCTTAATTCCCTATTTTGGAGCATTTAAGTGGTTTCACGGTTTTGGGGGTTTTTTTGTTTGTTTGTCTTTGCTGTTACAAATGACAATGTGCATGCATCCCTGGTTATTTTTTTAAATATATTTTATTGATTATGCTATTACAGTTGTCCCATTTTCCCTCTTCACTTCCCTCCACCCTGCCCACCCTCTCCCACCCACATTCACCCCCTTTAGTTCATGTCCATGTGTCATAAGTTCTTTAGCTTCTACATTTCCCATACTATTCTTGCCCTCCCCCTGTCTATTTTCTCCCTACCATCTATGCTACTTATTTTCTGTACCTTTTCCCGCCTCTCTCCTCCTCCCACTCCCCTGTTGCTAACCCTCCATGTGATCTCCATTTCTGTGGTTTTGTACCTGTTCTAGTTGTTTGCTTAGTTTCTTTTGGTTTTAGGTGTGGTTGTTAATAACTGTGAGTTTGATGTCTTTTTTTACTGTTCATATTTTTTATCTTCTTTTTCTTAGGTAAATCCCTTTAACATTTCATATAATAAGGGCTTGGTGATGATGAGCTCCTTTAACTTGACCTTATCTGAGAAGTACTTTATCTGCCCTTCCATTCTAAATGAAAGCTTAGCTGGATAGAGCAATCTTGGATATAGGTCCTTGCCTTTCATGAGTTGGAATACTTCTTTCCAGCCCCTTCTTGCCTGTAAGGTCTCTTTTGAGAAACCAGCTGACATTCTGATGGGAATTCCTTTGTAGGTGACTGTCCCCTTATCTCTTGCTGCTTCTAGAATTCTCTCCTTCATTTTTACCTTGGCTAATGTAATTATGATGTGCCTTGGCGTGTACCTCCTTGGGTCCAACCTCTTTGGGACTCTCTAAGCTTCCTGGACTTCCTGGAAGTCTATTTCCTTTGCCAGATTGGGGAAGTTCTCCTTTATTATTTGTTCAAATAACTTTTCCACTTGTTGCTCTTCCTCTTCCCTTTCTGGTACCCCTATAATTCGGATGTTGGAACGTTTCAAGATGTCCTGGAGGTTCCTAAGCCTCTCCTCATATTTTTGAATTCTTGTTTTTTCCTTCTTTTCTGTTTGGTTGTTTCGTTGTTCTTTCTGGTCCATTCCATTGATTTGAAACCCAGTTTGCTTCCCATCACTATTGGTTCCCTGTGCATTTTTCTTCATTTCACTTATTGTAGCCTTCATTTGTTCATCTAATTTGCAACCAAAATCAGCCAATTCTGTGAGCATCCTGATCGCCAGTGCTTTGAACTGTGCATCTGATCTGTTGGCTATCTCTTGGTGGCTTAAAAGTAGTGCCTGCGGGGCTTTCAATTCTGTTTGAGTGTCTTTTTTTTTTTTTTTTTCCCTTTGGTCTGGTTGCGCCTGTTATGTATGAGCAGCGGAGGCTTAGGTGTTCACCAGGGCAGAGCACCCTAGTCGCTGGGTTGTGATGTTGTATTTGGGGGCGGGGTCCGAGAGAGAACAACGGCGCCTGCTCAGCTCTTTCTAGGACTTCAGTCCCCTCTGCTGCTTCCCACGAGCAGATTGGGCCCTTCTGGTGCTGGCTCCCTGGCAGGTGGCCTTGTGTACTTTCTAGGACTCTGTGGGTCTCCTCAGGGAGCTCTCCTGTGAGGCTGGGAGGTTCTCCTGGCACCTCAACCCCCACAAGTGTTTTCAATCAGTCTTTTTAGGCTTTATTTCCCAGCGCTGGGTCCCTGGGTTGCACAGTCTGTGTCACTGCCCGTTTTGGCCTAGTTTATCTGCACTCGAATGTGTGACTGTGTACAGCCAGCTGCCTTATGCACCTCACTGGGTCTGCTCGTCACCTCCCGTGCCTGGGGTCTGCCACCAGGTCTGTCAGCTGCCCCTGCGCATCTGTGATCCCCAACTGCTGCCTGCACCCTGCGAGCCCGGATCTGCCAGCCACTGCTTTTTCCTGCTGGGACCCCTTGACCCCTCTCTGTAGGCCTCTGAACTCCGTCCTTCTTACCGATCTGGATGAATGGTTGTCAGACTTCTGTACAGTTCATTTCTCTCTGTTCTGGTTGGGGTTTGTTTCTGAATTTTTGTTGTCCTTAGTTTTAGTCATGCAAGGAAGCACAGTGTATCTACTATGCCTCCATCTTGGTCGGAAGAGCATCCCTGGTTATTTTTTTAAATGCACATTTTTTTCCAGTTTAACGTTTAAGCATTTTCCTGTGTCACTGAAAATTTATTTTAAGTATTATATGCTAATGTAGATAAATCGGTTTATTTTTCTTTTGATGAATTCAGACTCAGATTTGGTTTTGGTAAATGGGTCAATATCTGACATGGATATATGTTTCTTAAAAAGATCATGAGCAACAACAAAATAACCAGTAGCCAACCAACTACTATTCAAGTCCAAGAACAATAGAAACTGTCAAATACTGAGAGTAGCAATGACTTAATAGGATGGAGGTCTGCAGCAAATACTTGAGTTTGGTTTTATCCGTGTGTAAAAGCTCCAGCCCACCAGGAGAACTGAGGTATTCAAGACCCTTAATGATAACTCCATGCTGGGTGCAGCGTTCACATTCGGCGATTGTCTACATTTATCATTGTTTAAAAACAAAAACACCCCCCCACCCTCCCACATCCCCCCCAAAACCTGGGAGTGGAACTGTGGCTCTGAGACTTGAAGGGGAGGGATAAAGAGCTCTCTGTTTGCACAGTAAATATCATTCCCTTTGCATCACCTATGTTCTCATGTGGCAATTGATTTTATATTTGTTCAGCCCATCTTGGTGGTGGGATCTGTGCTACATCAAAATGAATGATAGTAAATTAATATTGAGAAGATAATAGAGATGAAAACATTTTAATGTTTATAAAACTGAGATTTGGGTGGTGAAGTTAAGTCTTCCAGGTGTGGTCCCGTTCCTGTATTTGCTGTCCGTCATAGCACACAACAGCGATGCCAACTACAGTATGTCTTTTTCTAAGGCATTTTATCAGTGACTCTTTTTTAAAAACTTGTATTAAATTCATTGACATTTACATTTTTATGTGTACATTTTAATGATACAAAATCTATATATGGCATTGTCTGCCCACCACCCTGAAGTTAAACTATCTTCTGTCACCACATATCAGGCCTTTTCTACCCCATCCCCCACACAGTCACCCTTTATTACTGTGTTTAATAGAATTTTCTCTCAGCAGGTTTATTTGGCCATTTTAAGAATGGTTTAAAATAAATTACTTATTTAAAAACTTTTCTGTAATTATTTTTATTCGTAGGATGAACTTTCTGATGTTAGCCAAGGAGGATCTAAAGCTACCACCCCAGCATCAACAGCTGCTTCAGATGTGGCAGCACTTCCTACTGATACTCCCTTAAAGGAAGACACTGAAGGATTTGTGAAGGCTGCAGATACACCAAATAAGTCAGAGATAAGCAAGCATATTGAAGTACAGGTAGCCCAGGAAACTAGAAATGTATCAACAGGTACGTAACCCTGGTTCTTTACTTACTAGCAAAGTATTCAATAAATCTAGATGATGTGGGTGTGAGAAAATTCATCACTGGGTTGTTGGTGCTTTGGACCTATAAAATAAATAAATAATTCATGCTGCTCAATTGTAAATAAGCTTAAAGAGGTGATGATTGAATACAGTTCTGGAGAGAAAACTGTTGGCGGTTGGAAGGTTGGAGGGCCTGAAAGGTGGTAGGAGGATACTGCTTTTCTGCCCCCGCCTGAGAGCGTTCGTCTTTGTCTTCAGTCTCTCTGCATTCCACCCCTGGAATAGGAATGAGCACAGGGAGTTCTGGCCTAGGATATGCTGCACTCCGTCCCAAGAAATACAATAAAAACTTTGATTATTTTTTAGTTTCTGATGTTAACTGTTAATTGAATGTATAACATATTGTCTTACACTATACTTCCTAGAATCCACTCTTGAAAAAAATATTTTTATGATCAAACTGTGTATTTGCAACCACAGAAGCAACAGAATTTTCATATTAGGGGTAGTATATAATATACTCGTTATTTATGTCATCTTGTCCTTTCATTAGGCTCTGCAGAAAATGAAGAGAAGTCAGAAGTTCAAGCAATCATTGAATCCACTCCTGAGCTGGACATGGACAAAGATCTCAGTGGATATAAAGGCTCAAGGTGCTGTAAATGTCAGATTAAGACATTGTATTCTTCTTTTCCCTCTCGTAGAAGTATACTGTTGTTCTCTGGTCTCTGACCGGACACAATGCATTTAAATAAATGTCTTGCTGAAGAATGTTGGTATTTCTATTTTTGAAACTGGACTTGAACATGGCTTAAATGTTTTATAAGATGTTGCCTTTGCAGACTCAGGTGTTAGGAGCATGCTGAAGAACAGGGAGAAAAGGCAGCCAAAGGATATCCCATACATTCTGGCACTTCAGGAAACATAGAAACAGGAGTGGGGAATTAACAATTTGAGCAAACTTTGTCCCCTCTCCAGATCAGGAAGAAGAGAATGTACTCCTTTCAGAAGCGTAGTGGTCTCATTATTAGGAGAAATTTTTCTCAGATTACGTGGGGAGGATGTTTCATGGTGGGAAGAAAATGGTTATATATCATCTTAATCACGGTCATCTGAAATAGACTGATGTTCAAGGATGTCAAACAGGGGCTACTGCCTTTTAATTTCTTCTATAAATTTTACCCTTTAATTAATAGTAACCATTAAAAATGCATGTTCTTTATTGATCACTGCTAGATATTGTGCAGTTGTGGTTGAAAGCATGAGGCCTGGGGTAAGACTATGGGTTCAAATCCTGCATTGGATTTGAATCTGATTTGTAAGTTTTCTCATTCATCAAAGGAATTGATAGTAATACCTCAGATAATTGTGAGAAGTGAATGAATCAGTGTATGTTAAATCACCGGCAAAGTGCCCAGTTCAGTAAATGTTAGCTAATATTATCAACATCATTATTTTACATAATTCATTGTCTGATGCTCTGGGTCTGTTTTGTTCACACTTAACAACTTGTTCTCCATTTCCTGCCTGTAACATTTAAACTTGGCTCCCGTTATTCAGGGAGCTGTGCTGCGAGGAGGGAGGCCTGAGTCTTCCAGAGGATTGGACCGGGGCCTCCTCCTGCTTCTTCTGTCGCTTTCATCCCATCCTTCCGTGTTGTGTTCCCCCTCGCACGCTCCTCTCTGCAGACTGCCGGTTCCCTCACTCCTGGGCCTTGCGGCGATGTTGGCAGTTTACTGACATCCTCCCTAAACTCGACTGGCTTGGGTGTCCGTTTTCGCTTGTCTGTTAAATCAGTTTCTACTCTTTGCCCATCTGTTTTCCATCTTACGGAATTTTGTTCTCATTTCATCTGCTCTAATTTCTTTTTCTATTCCCCTGTCCTGTGGGTCCTTTTTAATTCCTTTACTGTGACTTCAGTTCAATTTTGAGTTATTAGGTGATAAATGACTGTATTTGGTTCACATATGTTTAATTGGAAAGCTTGCATAGATTCTTTTCGAATACTATAAATTAATGTACAAACATGCACGCATCTTCCCATTTCCCTTCTACAAACTCCTACAAAAAAGGATTGCATTATACATAGTTTTCCTATTTTTTAAAAAAATAGCTTTATATAGTGGATTTCTTTACTTTATAAAGCTTTGTTTTAATGGTTTTAACTTTATATATATCCATAACTTATTTCATCTGTGCCCTAGTAACTCAGGTTGCTATAGTAAGTGTTGCAACTCTAAAAATGCTGCTGTGACTACCCCTCTTGTGACATGGTTTTTATAGGATATTTTCTTGACATTGAATTCTAGGCTCGGTGGGTGTGGGTATTTGCATTTAAAAGAAAACTAAAACAGCATTGCCAATTTATAACCAGGCAACATAGAACATAGTAGTTAAGGTCATGGATTCTGAAGCAAGACTGCCTATGTTTGAATCCTGCCTCTTTCATTCATTTGCTAGATGATTTTGGAAAATTTCTTAACCTCTTCAGTTTCCTCTTCTGTAAAGCCGGTATAATAGCAGCACCTATTTTGTAGAATAGGTGTGAGACTTCACCAAAGTAATATGTGTAAAGCACTTAGAGATTGCCTGGATCAGAAAAGAGTAGTGCTCTTAGCTGCCATCCTGTTTGCTGGGATCTCACTGCAAAAGCATTGTTTCTTTACTAGTTAGTTATCTCTGAAATTTAATGGGAGTTTCTTAGGAAACCTTTGAGAAATCTTTTAAAATCACATTTTGTATTACTTGTAAGTTATAGGTAAAAAAACTTTGGGAAACTTAGCCTATTATATTCATTATCACTTAAAAGTCTTTGTAGTATTTATTGATTTGGTTTTGTTATTTTTGTTGCACAGCACTCCCACCAAAGGCATAGAGAACAAAGCTTTTGATCGCAACACAGAATCCCTGTTTGAAGAACTGTCTTCAGCTGGCACAGGCCTAATTGGAGATGTGGATGAAGGAGCAGACTTACTAGGTATGATAGCTTATCTGAAAAAGTATCATACTGTTTTAAAAATAGATTTTTAAAATGATTTAATTGTAAATTCCTTTACAATGTCTATAACTGCTTAGTGGTGCAGTTATTGTACCTTTAGCTAATTAAAGGGAATATATTCTTTGAGAACATGAAGGTTTTAAATGAAAGCATCTTTGTATATGGATATGCCTCAAATTGAATTGCACTTAAATTTGTATTTTGGATTCACAGAACACAATATATAGAATGTTTGCTGTTTTTTGAGACAGTGTTACACAGAAGGAACACAGTGATGTGTGTGTAGATGTATAGTTTATGGATAGTTAGTTCCTGACTCAACTAGGTTTCGTTAAATTTTGTTAGCCTTGCCCTGGCCAGTGTGACTCAGTTGTTTGGAACGTTGTCCCATAAACCGAAGGGTTGCGGGTTTGATTCCCAGTCAGGGCACATGCCTAGGTTGTGGGTTTGGCACCTGGCAGGGGCACTTGCAGGAGGCAGCTGATGTCTGTCTGTCTCTGTCTCTCTCTGGCTCTCTTCCCACCCCACCCCCACATCTCTCTCCCCTTCCCCCGCCCCCTCCCTTTCCTTTCTCTCTGAAATAAAAAAAATTATGTTGACCTTAATTAAATGTGAAACTAAATACTTGGTTTTTCTCAGATTGCACTGATTTTCTGTTTTAGCTTTATGGAAAATGTAATAATTTAGCATGTGTGTTGTTGAAGAACACCTGGTTTTCTTTTCAAACCAGGGCTGGTTTGAAAAGAATAGTGCAGTGGCTCTTCTATTTATCTGGTGACCTTTGCCAGATAACTTAACCTCTCTGGGCCTTGGTTCCTTTGTGCATAAAAGGAAGGGGTTGGACTCTGTTTCAGGGGTTGGGCAAACTGTAGCTCATGGGCCAAATCCAGCTTACCTCCCATGTGTGTGAGTAAAGTTTTAATGGAACAATGTCACACTCATTTGTTTGTCTGTAGTTGCTTTTGCACTACAACAGAAGATTTAAGTAATCTGCAGCAGAGATCATATGGCTTGAAAGGCCTAAAATCTTCACCATCTGACCCTGTAGAGAGAGAGTTTGCTAACTCCTATTCTAGGTCATCTCTGTAAGGGCCCTTTTGACAGTAGTACATGACTCTGACTCATGTCAAATAGCTTTGGTGCGCCTATTCTTACAACTTGAGACCTTACAGAAATTGAAAACGTTACAGCATTTCAAAAAGTCTATGCCTCCACGTTAATTACTGATTACCAGTTATGTCCTTGACAATTTGAAGTATTCTAAAGGAGACATACGTTCTATATAAACAGAGCTTCTAATCTGTCTAGTAAGAGATTGAAAGTATATAAATAAATGTATTTTGTGTTAGACATGGACTCCCGTTGTTGAAGTCTAAGAGAGGTAAAACATGGGAACTGAGTGAGTTTGCATTTCTCAAGAAGGGCCAAAGGGTTAATTCATAAAGAATACTCAGTTTTTACAAACAAGCAAAATATAACTGAAGACACTGAAATTGAGAACAGGCTGACAGTGACCAAAGGGAAGAGGGGAGGGAATTTTAGGGGAAAAGGGTGAAGGGTTTGCAGGAACAAGTATAAAGGACACATGGACAATAACGGGGGGGTCGTGGAAACAGGGGAGGGAGGTGGGGAGGGCAGGGTTGTTGGATTAGGGTTGGGGGGGAAAGGCAGAAAACTGTACTTGAACAACAATAAAAACAAAATACTCAATTTTTACGTTTAAATTTATGCTTTAACTTTATTTAATATTAAATTATGCATGAAAAGTTCCTTTAAGATTTGATTGGTTTAAGAAACTGACTCCCTGGCAAAATTGAGGGGAAGATATAAAAAATGCTAGAAAGGAGAATTTTTAATATTTAAATTTAGAGTCAAATTTATACATAGTAAAATTCATTCTTTGGTGAGTATTTTGAGTTTTGCCAATGCATAGAGTTGTATAGCCACCACCAGAATCATATACATCACCCCAAAAATGTCCTTCATGCTGCCCCATGGAATTTAACTGGAATGAAGTAATTTTTAATGTAGTTTGTACACTCTGATGCCTCACTGTCCAATACTGAGTAATCTAATTTTTGAATATGTTAGCCCAAACTCTTTTTTTTTTGTAAAGAGTTAAGAAGTCACATAGTACTTAGAAATAATTGTGGTCTTTTAAATCAAATATTTTCTGAAAGCTTTCATCTTTAAGACAAAAACATAAGCATAGTAAATAGGTTAAAAGCAAAATTATAACACTCTACTTTCCTTTCCACTTTGAAAATAAGGAATAGACCATAAACTACTGTCTTTTTTCTTTTGTAGATATTGATATATTTATTTCTAGAATGTTTCAAATTAGAAGATTTTAAAGTATTACCGTAAGCGTAGCAGCTTATGCCTACATGAACACTTTTGGTCAGAGCTAGTAAACGGAATTTCCAAGGCGGTTGTTTGTTCATGGCTGCCCTCCCGTGCAGTTCAGTGCCGGCATCTGAGGTGTAGTGCTCACTAAGTGGAATATAGCTGAACTCACAAAATTGTGTCCCGAGTTGCAGTAATTGGACTTGGGTTAATAAATAAGTAGATGACCCATTTCTATAACTCATTATTCATTTTTCTAATTATATTATTATAAAACTCTTTTCTTGTTTAAGGATATAAAATTGTTGTGCTCAATTATTCATGTACTCAGTGCTTATATAACTTTTTTCCTGATTTTAATAATTTAAAAGACGTGACCCCTCACAATTTGACCTTTATCTTGATTGATGTCTCATCCCCTGACTTTCTCATTTTTGTTTACCCCTTTTTCCATTCACTCTAGTCACTTATTCCTCATGGCCGCGTTCTGGAACTTAGAAATCATACTTTCATGCACCCTTATGTTGGGATTTTCTTTCTCTTGATTATATTCTGTATTTTGTACTTCTCCATCTTTGTTAACTTCTTCTATTACCATTTAAACATATTCTGGTCTTTACCATTTACAAATAAAAATACTGCCCTGACTGATGTAGCTTAGTGGGTTGGGCATCATCCTGCAAACCAGAAGTTCGCCAGTTGATTCCCAGTCAGGGCACATGTCTGGGTTGTGGGCCAGGTCCCCAGCTGGGGACGTGTGACAGGCAACCAATTGATGTTTCTTCCTCTCTGTCTCAAAAATAAATAAATAAATAATTTTAAAAAATAAAAATAACACTGCCCTCCTCTAGCTTCAGTAGACACAACCCTATCACTCACTCTTCTCCCATTTCTTGTCCCACTTTTATGCAGCAATACCAATGAGGTGTCTGTTATGTGCTTGGTACAGCTCTAGATGCTGTGATACATCAGTGAACAAAACAGGCCCTGGCTGGTGTGGCGAGTGGATTGAGCCCCAGCCTATGAACCAAAAGGTGGCTGGTTCCACTCCCAGTCAGGGCACACGCCTGGGTTGCGGGCCAGGTCCCTGGTTGCAGGCATGTGAGAGGCAGCCAATCGATGTATCTCTCACACACAATGTTGTTTCCCTCCGTCTCTTTCTTTCTCCCCTACCCGTCTCTAAAAGTAAATACATAAAATCTCTTTAAAAAGCAGTATTGACAGCTCTTTAAAAAAAAAAAAGAAAGAAAGAAAAGGCTTCTTAGAAGTGTGGCTACTTTTAAATGGCAGGGTCTCCCAAGTCCCACTTGCATCTTGGCCAGGTGCAATCTGAGTGAGCGTTCTATGCTACACTTGCCGGTCCTGAAACAGCCTTCTTGTGTGCTGTATCCAGCGGTTCCTTCTCAGTCCTTTCACGTGACTTCTCAAATAGCATTTGCCTTTAAAACTGCCTTTGCTGGTTTTTGTGATATCAGACTCCTGCGTTCTTTTCTGCCTCTGACTATTCCTTTTTAGGGGGCTTTGCAGGCTCCTCTCTCTACCTCTCTTTCCAATGTCGATGTTCCTGTCCCAAGTCTGCTTCTTTGGGAGATTTTGTGTGCTCTTGTTTCTTGGCTTTCATGTCTAATTGTTCCAAAGTCGTAATTTCCATCCAAGATCTCTTTCTAGAGCCCCAGACCATCACTTTCAAACAGCCCATAGTCAGCTCTTAAGATGATTGCTAGAGCTTTATATTTGATATGTCTAAAATTCTGTCCCCTAAGGTTCTTCCTGTACCAACTTGTAGTAACTCGGTGAATGAATGACCTCACCATCCACTCAGTTCTTCATTCTAAATCTCTCCTTTTTTCCTAATAACCAATCACAAAGAACTGTTTGCCCCCTTTCTTTAAAGAAAAGAAATACACATATATCTGCCTCCATCTTGCCTCTGCTTAAATAGCCCGTCCTCCTCTGGGAATTCTGTCTTGATCCCCTACTTAAGGTTTAGTTGTCCCTGAAATGTATTTCCATAGCACTGCATTTTATTTATTATGCCACTCTTCATACTTTACTGTAACTTTTTAAAATATATTTTATTGATTATGCTATTACAGTTGTCCCATTTCCCTGCTTCATTCCCTTCCACCCTGCACACCCTCTCCTACCCACATTCCCCCCCTTTAGTTCATGTCCATGTGTCATAAGTTCTTTAGCTTCTACATTTCCCATACTATTCTTGCCCTCCCCCTGTCTATTTTCTCCCTACCATCTATGCTACTTATTCTCTGTACCTTTCTCCCCCTTCTCCCACTCCCCTGTTGCTAACCCTCCATGTGATCTCCATTTCTGTGGTTTTGTACCTGTTCTAGTTGTTTGCTTAGTTTCTTTTGGTTTTAGGTGTGCTCATTAATAATTGTGAGCTTGCTGTCATTTTATTATACATGTTTTTTATCTTCTTTTTCTTAGATAAGTCCCTTTACAATTTCATAAAGTAAGGGCTTGGTGATGATGAACTCCTTTAACTTGACCTTATCTGAGAAGTACTTTATCTGCCCTTCCATTCTAAATGAAAGCTTAGCTGGATAGAGCAATCTTGGATGTAGGTCCTTGCCTTTCATGACTTGGAATACTTCTTTCCAAGTCCCTTCTTGCCTGTAAGGTCTCTTTTGAGAAATCAACTGACATTCTGATGGGAACTCCTTTGTAGGTAGCTGTCTCCTTATCTCTTGCTGCTTCTAGGATTCTCTCCTTCATTTTAATCTTGGCTAATGTAATTATGATGTGCCTTGGTGTGTTTCTCCTTGGGTCCCACTTCTTTGGGACTCTCTAAGCTTCCTGGATTTCCTGGAAGTCTATTTCCTTTGCCAGAATGGGGAAGTTCTCCTTTATTGTTTGTTCAAATAACTTTTCCACTTGTTGCTCTTCCTCTTCCCCTTCTGGTACCCTTATAATTTGGATGTTGGAACGTTTCAAGATGTCCTGGAGGTTTTCTAAGCCTCTCCTCATATTTTTGAATTCTTGTTTCTTCCTTCTTTTCTGTTTGGTTGTTTCGTTGTTCTTTCTGGTCCATTCCATTGATTTGAAACCCAGTTTGCTTCCCATCACTATTGGTTCCCTGTGCATTTTTCTTCATTTCACTTAGCATAGCCTTCATTTGTTCATCTAATTTGCAACCAAATTCAACCAATTCTGTGAGCACCCTGATCTCCAGTGCTTTGAACTTTGCATCTGATAGGTTGGCTGTCTCTTCATCACTTAGTTGTACTTTTTCTGGAGCTTGGATCTGATCTTCCGTTTGGGCCATTTTTTTTTGTCTTGATGCACCTGTTATGTAGTGAGGGGCGAAGCCTTAGGTGTTCACCAGGGTGGGGGCAACCCAGTCACTGGGTTGTGACGCAGGAGTCCGAGACAGAACAGTGGCACTTACTCCACTCTCCGTGGGATTTCAGTCCCTTCCACCGCTTCCCACAAGCAAACTGGGCCCTTCTGGTGCTGATTCCTGTGTGGGTGGACTTGTGTTTGTTCTAGGACTCTGTAGGTCCCTCCACCGAACTCTCCTGTGAGACTGGGAGGATATCCCAGCACTTCAACCCCCACAGGTGTTTTCACTCGGTGTTTTGAGGCTTTATTTCTTGGCACTGGGACCCTGGGTTTCGCGGTCTGTCTTGCTCCCCAGTTTCATTTGGTTTATCTGCCCGAGAATGTGGGACTGCCCGGTCAGCCGCCTTGTGCACTTCACCCCACTCCACAATCGCAGCCTCACCGGGTCTGCCCACTGCCACCCCAAGCCTGGGGTCTGCCAGCCGCCTGTGCGCCCAAGATCCACCTAATGCGGTCTTGCGTGCCCAGGGTCCGTCAGCTGCTGCCTTGCATGCCAAGGGTCCACAAGCCACTGCTTTTTTTGCCATGACCCCTCTCCTCCCAGCGGCCGACTCTGCCCCTCCTACCGGTCTGGATGAATGTGTTTATTTTAACCTCTTGCTTGTCGGACTTCCATAGAGTTCAATTTTGTCAGTTCCTGTTGTTATTTTGTTTTTAAATTGCTGTTGTCCTTATTTTAGTTTTGCGAGGAGGCACAGTGTGTCTACCTACGCCTCCATCTTGGCCGGAAGTTACTTTACTGTAATTTTTTATGTGCCTGCCTCCTTGAATAGACTATATGTGACCAAGACAACTGTGTCTTTTGCTCACTATTGAGTCTTCAGTACGTTGCACAGCAACTAAGTGAATGGATTCCTACATAGTTCTACCAATTTTGTTTCACCTCTAAATCTGTGATTTTTCTCCTGTTGGAGTTAAAACTCCTCTACTGGAGAATTAGTGAAGGATCAGTATACTTTTGGGAAAATGTCCATATAGAACTAGATAAGATTGTGTGTACTTCCTCAAGAGATTAACGGATAATTCAGAAGAAGCCCACGTATGGACTAACATGAGACTCAAAGCTAAAATCCAAATGAGATACCTGAGAAAACTGTCGGGCAGTTTTTTTACTTGTTTTAATAGTAAAGTTTCCAGGTATGTTAGACCTAAGTTTATGCTTGGTTGAAGTCTTGAATAGAAATGAGGCTACTTCAAGTTACATTTTTCTTTTGGTTACAAATTAGTGTTTATTGAATATTTTAAAGTGAAACTTTTGGACAATTCTTTTGATATGTTAAATTTATGAACTAGATTCTTAAGAGAATTTTCATTAGAAGTGTGTAAACTTTAGAAACTACATTATAGGATATGATTCCCATATATCTCAATTTTTTATATTTAAAATATTTACCTTTTATTGTGTTTAGTTAATGCACATCTTTTCAATTTTGTTGTCTTCTCTCTCTCATTTTGAAATAAATGAGTGTAGATCTTACTTTCTGAAAACGATCTAATTGAGATTATCTTTCATTTTTCTCTTGGGCTGCTTACCCAGGAGAATATTCTGGTGTGTATGCTTTTAAATACTTTAATATGCTGCTTTCTAAGCTAGGTGTTCTTGGCTGCTGTTCTCATTTAATGCTTTCTCATCATTTTTTTTTCTGCTTAGCTATTTTTTTGTGTCTTGCATATGTTTTCAGCTTTTATGCTTATCTCCCTGTATACTTGAGAGTTTATAGCAAACATCGTCATTGTATAAACTTTTTAAAGCAAATCTAAACTTTATTTCTTCTGATTCTATAGCTTTATTGAAAAGTTAACATTAGTGTTTAAAGCAAGTATTTATTTCAGCATATCTTGCCAAATTTTATTTTGGGATTGGAATATAGAAACTTTTTTGCTTTTTCTATATCTTTGGTTTTGGAGAATCTAGAGAGATAATTAAATAAGCACTATTTCTAATATTAAATTCTTTATGGTAGAAGTATCTTGATCTTTGAGAATATTTCAGATAATTATAATACAGACAAAATATGAGTCCGTATGTGAGAATTGAATTTTTAGCATTTCTATTTGAAATATTTTAAATATTACCTTTTTTTTAAAATAAGGGGATATGTTAATTCCTTTACATAGTCTTCTTTAGAAATATTTTCTCCTGTTTAGCTGGTTATGAATATTACGTACTCCATTGTATGTGATTTTCTAACATTAACTTAGGGTTAAGTGAGCTAAACTTACTATGGTCTTGGTTTTGTTTTTCTTTGCTTTCTTTGTTTTTGAGACTTTTTGAGATGTATTTCCTAGTGTGTTCTTTATTTCTTCTGTTTCTTATGAGGAATAAGTTAAATATCTTTCTTCTCCCTAAAGATCACTACACTTGATCTTGCATTGAATACTCTACCTGCCTACCTTATAGTGCTCATTAAATTGCTAAACACAATTCTGTAAAGTAACAACTGAACATTATCATTTCAGATATGACACTTTGAAGGAAACTTATTGATCCGGGGTTTTCAATCTCATTATATTCAATTTATTATGCAAAGAATTGGTAAAGCAATTTTTAGGTGTAAGCTATCAGAGCCTCCTTATGAATGAAGGAAATCGTAGTATCTGTCTTACATCATTATGCACTAGGTCATGTAGCATTGTGATTCCAGATGTTTTTCATATCATGCATAAAACTTTACAGATTAATGATCTATTTTCATGCTGTTTCTTACATAAAACATTTCTTGTTCTTTGTTTTTGCTTTACATGGAATGCATGGGCTTTAAGACCATAATTTCTTTGGTAAGGTTTCATCTGCATTGGGGTTTCGTCTTTCTCTGGCCCTGTTTCTGCCAATTCTCTATGAATAAAGCTTGTTTTTAGGGAAAAACCTAAAATACCAGCCTGTGATTTGGAAATGCTTTCTGATCCATATTAATGCTGCCCCCCCCCCCCAAATGCTGCTACATTTTAGAATATTTGGCAGAAAAGTCTTGATCCTTTTGAAATAATCTGAGAACATAGAGACTAAGGGTTATAAAGCATTGGCTAACAAAATCTTTAGCTTTGTTTTGTGATGGAAAACTATAATTTTGTAATCCACTCGAGTAATTGTATCAAATGGAATTATAGACAAAATGAGATTACTAAAGGAGATAACAATATAAAATCAAATTTACAATTATAGCTTATAAACTTACATAATTTTTGATAAGTTTATTTTCAAAGTTTTTATCTTTTTTTCTTTTGCTAGGTATGGGTCGTGAAGTTGAGAATCTTATATTAGAAAATACACAACTGTTGGAAACCAAGTAAGTATATATAAAATTTTAATAATGAAGAAAACATACCGAATTTTCTTCTTGTCCAAGTCACTGACAATTCTTCAGTTCAACACAGTGCTAATGCAGTCTCACTACCCCGTCTCTTCCCCTTTCGCTGTGTGTGGGCTCGTGCACGTCCACACGCATTCACAGGCAGACACACAGGTCACAGGACCTAATTTTGCAGATGAGCAGTTTCCGTTGCTCAGCTGTGTGCAGATATTCTTTCCACTTTATAAGCATTCATGTTCTGGATGTGTCCTATGTGTGTTTTGCTCTTTCCTGAGGATGTCTGTCTTCTTGCCTCTTTTCCTAGAGTTTCTTTTATTTCTGCATAAATGTTTTACTCTATACCCAGCCCACCTCTTCAGCGTTCCCCAACATAGTTGTAGGTTCCCAGGTATAATTAGTGTGGTCTTAGGTCCTCGGACACAGTGGAGTCTTGTTTAGTGGGGTAGGTTCTGTCATCTGGAAAACATCAGGGCCCGCTGTTAACTCGTTGTGTCGGAGCAACTTTGGAACATTTGTGTACATCCGAAACAATATGTCTATAATGAGGTCGTATGCCCACTGTACCCAAAAGAAATTAGATCTTAGATTTTTTCTAGTTCAGACATTTTCTCATTAATTATTAAAATTAAATATAAGGATTAATTTTACATTATTGATTAGGTAATATCTTCAGAACTTATTAATAATAGAACTCTATGGATGCTATCAGACCATTGACTTGTTTCTTTTTAACTTTATCTGCAAGTAACATCAGGTAGAATGCCTTTGAAGTATTCAGTTATTCAGCTTTATGATTGTATATTTAGTCTACAAGAGAATAAGCTGAAAGATGGAAAGAATATTCATTTGTAATGATGCACTTGAAATATGTGTTTCTTAGAAATGCTTTGAATGTAGTGAAGAATGATTTGATAGCAAAAGTGGATGAACTGACCTGTGAGAAAGATGTGCTGCAAGGGGAGCTGGAGGCGGTGAAGCAAGCCAAACTGAAGTTAGAGGAAAAGAACAAAGAACTGGAGGAGGAGCTGAGGAAGTAAGTTTTCACTTTGCTACTCTAAACCTGTCTTTGCCGGTGGGCCTCCAGGGGTGCAAGGATAACCCAGAGACTGCTGCTGTCGGCCTTCTTGCAAACCAAGAAGGGCCAAGAGCTGCCTGGGGTGGGCCAGAGTGCCCATCTGAGTGCCTCTGCTGTGAGCACGCCTCTCCGTTTACTGAATATCAGCATTTTTGTGTGTTTGTCATGATGCAAAAAAAGTAAGAAGAACTGTTCAAATATTGCTAAAGGAAATTAGAAACATTTATTATTTTCTTTCACCCAGCCATCTTTTTTTTCCCCCTGCTTGGGGAGGAAAGGTGGTGGATCTCTCAAAGGAGAAGGCCCCCGCCATCTTTAATACCTGTTTTGATTTGTTTTTTCCTGGTACAGTGCTGTGATTTTCCTAACGCGTTCCTCTAAATCAAGGCAGCTAAGTAAAGGCTCTGTTTGGAAACAGGAAAATAATCATTTAGTGGTGGTTAAATTTTTTTACCTACTCTTCATTCTTCTAAAAGATGAACTCAACTCATATAACATGTTCTGTTTTTTCTCCCTGCTAGAGCTCGTGCAGAAGCTGAAGATGCAAGGCAAAAAGCAAAAGATGATGATGATGTAGGTTTACGGTTTTGGACTCATTTTCTTGCCTTATGATATTTTGATTTTGGGGCGGAAGTCTTGCTAATTAAGCTTTGGATAAAGTGTTATAAAGATTTTTTTAAGAAGTCACAAGACACGTTTGTGGGCAGGAATAGGATGGCTCGTGCTCCCACGTGGTATCTGAATGCAGAGAAGCTCTCAGGGCATCTCCTGTGATGTGCGTGTTTTCCCCCGGGGCTCTGCTCTGTGCACATTCAAGCACGTGCACCAACTGGGACATTTTTTCAGGTTTTTTAAACAATTTTTGTTTGGCTTCATATTTTGACTTAGAAATACAAAAGCTAAATAACACAAATTGTTTAACAACATTAAACATAAAATGATGAAGTCTAGCTTGTAATACTAGGCCACTAGCACATAATGTTGTCAACATATTTAAATACAAAAGAATAAATACAGTGGTACCTCAGAACTCGCCATTAATTCATTCAGAACTTGTGACGAGTGCCAAACAGTGAAGCATTCTCTCTTGTGGGGCGACGTTGTGGCTCATAGAACTTCTAGCAAGTGCCATGAGTCCCCAGCAAGCGCCGAGTGCTGAAACTTTCTTTCCTAGCAAAATGCTTTGAGTACCAGGTTTGATGAGTTCTGAAGCTGATAGTTGCCAGAGTATGACTCTATGAGCTAATTGCCAATATTATTAGCATACTAGCTCTTCTTTTGGTAGCTAGGTTATCTTTCCTGTAACAGGTGTTTGCTACTTAAGCATCAGTCTAAAGGTATATGGATGTACTGGACAGAATGATTAATTGGTACCCCTTTAATCTCTTATTTGTTTTTTAATATAGTATTTGATATACAAAAATAAATATGTAATATAACTAAGTTATGAATAGCAACATAATAAATTAGCATTGATAAATCCACTACCCAACTGAGAAATAGAACATTTTCAAACATTGAAGCTACCTTGTGCTTCTCCCTGCCAGAGGAATCTGCTGTCCTGTATTCATCATTTTCTCACCTTAACTAAAAATAATTTTGTCATACCATATATATGTATGCATACAAAGTATGGTTTAGTTTTCATTGTTTTTGCTTTTTATACTGTATTTAGTCTGGAAGACTTGTGTCTTTTACTCAGTACTATGTTTTTGATATTCACCTGTATTGTATTTAGTACGGGTCATTCATGTTCACTGCTTTATAATATAGCCCATTATATGAATATACGACAGTGTATGTACCTTTTCCTGTTAGTGAACGTTTAGGTTGTTTTCAGCTTTTTGCTTCCACACACAGCGCTGTCTATATGAACATTGCAATACAAGTCTCCTGGGTTTTCCAGGGTATTAACTAGTACTGGGATTTCTGTATTGCAAACTCCTTTAATCATTTGTTGTTTGACTTTTATTTAAAGGAGAGGCCAAGCTCTGTGTCAGGACAAAGGATGAGACTGCTCTGAGCCTCTTTCTTACTGCCCCAAGCCTTTCAGCTTTGATCCAAAGTGTGCATGCTTCACCTGGCAAAACAAGATCTTTCCCGTTAATCTAACTGTTTTCCTTTAGAAATCAGCAGTAGAAGGAGGTTGACCTGAGCATGCCTTTTTGGGGTCTTACCGTGCTCTCATCACTTACTCTTCCTAACAAGAAATCTTTACTGCCATGGTCTTCATCTTGTATTTCTGTTGGTGTTTTAGTGATTCTTAGAGTTGGGTACCTTGGTAACTGGTCAGTAAGTTTACACTTTACACTGGCCTTGGAGCAAACGGATTGATGGTTTGAGATAAATGAACCCCTTTTGAAACTAACTCGTAACTAATTTCTGAATGACTAGCAGTTGTTAGAGAACATGAATTGAAAATAATATTGTTAGAGCAACATTTCCAGGTGAGCATATTAAATGTACATAGGAGACAATTAACTTTTGGTTTTAGTTCAAAATCTGCACTGCTCTTTGTATTGCTCTTTATGTTCAAATATCTGTAGTTATATTCGGAAATTAAATTGTCTGCCTTCTTTTGGTCATAAGTAATTATTTAAATCTCTATCAATTTTATTTATAAAAGGTCATTTTTAAGTGATCCAGTAGATTAAAACTTAAGGGATGTTTAAAACCTTAAAGATTTTGCTTTAAGTGTGAGATATCACCAAAACAGATACAGGCTCCCAGAGTGATCCGAGTCTTCTTTTCGTTGTAGAGTGACATTCCCACAGCGCAGAGGAAGCGGTTTACTAGAGTAGAAATGGCCCGCGTTCTAATGGAGAGAAACCAGTACAAAGAGAGGCTGATGGAGCTTCAGGAAGCTGTTCGATGGACAGAGATGATTCGGTTTGTATGAGGAGCACCTCTCGTGTTTTTCTAATATTGTCTCATAGTTTTCGGTATTTTTTCATTCAGACTGAGAGTCCTGCCTTTGGGGATCCAGGCCCCTTGCTCTGTTTCCTCAGAGAGACTTTGTAAAGTAACACTTGGAATTAGTAACAGAACTGTGATCGAAGCAGGTGCCTTTGGGGCCAGTAAAGGGCTCTTGGAGAATGCTCCCACAGCCTCTAAACACACTCGTTACTACTCAGGAATGATGTTCATTTTTCAGAAGAAAATTGATACTACTTTTGCAATAATATCTGAAAAATATAAGAATTTCATATGTCACATAGGAAACAATCATTTTTACTCAGTGTCTTCCTGTAAAATGCTCTTGCTGCATTTCCCCTCCCTTTCTGACTACTCAAGCAGAATCCCACTTCCATTGAGATCTTTGTCAGTTAGGTCTTTTTTTTTTTTTTAAATATTTTATTTATTTTTAGAGAGGGAAGGGAGGGGGAGAGAGAGATAGAGAAACATCAATGTGCGGTTGCTGGGGGTTATGGCCTGCAACCCAGGCATGTACCCTGGCTGGGAATCGAACATGCGACACTTTGGTTCACAGCCAGAGCTCAATCCACTGAGCTACGCCAGCCAGGGTCGTCAGTTAGGTCTTAAGTCCCACCTCCAATGCTGCCATCTAAGGGTCAGAGTCTTGGTAACAGTATGCCTTTAATTTAGGAAGAGCTCATGAAAAATTTGGAGACTAATGAACCCCTCATCTGTCCATGTTTTTGAGTTTGGACTATCCCTTCAGATTGACCAGCAATAGTACACACATGCAGATTCTCTTAGTTTATGAGCATGTCTTCCAACCTCCAACGATTTCTTCCTTATGATCACAATGGTTTAGCAGTGTATATATCCTTTACCAAGGTTATACTAGAATTCTGTAGAATATGAATATGTATAGTTTGCTAAAATTGTAGTTGTGTATAGCTACCAAGAGGGAAGGAGATTAGTATTCTAATCTTTATTTATTGTACAAAAAAAACTAACATCCTAAGAAATGTGTTCTTAATAACTCCAGCATTTAATGGATAGTGAATAAATAATGAATAAATAGTTTAAAAACTGAGGCATATAGGTAGGCTCACATTTTATTGTTATTTTTAATTCTAACAGCCAAGTGGTAGTCAGTGAGTGAAAACAGATGGTAGTTTACTTTTAACCTTTTCCATTGAATTAAAAGATGTTGTAATTTAGTCTTTTTTTAAAAAAGTGAAAGGTGGGCTCTCATAGTGGTGGCAGAATCCTTATCATCTTACCGAATTAGTTTGGAATGCCTTATTTTCTGAAATTTTGTTGAATTACCTATCTATCTAGTTTATCCCCTTCTCTGGTCGTCTTTTCAGTGATGGAAAAATTTTAGTCCCATGAAAAATGACCCGAAAAGTAAAATTACAAGTTACTTTGTGAGAGCTGGGAATACAGATGATACAGACCTTTGTGCAAAGATAGGGATAAAAAGTTTTAAATATTAACATTCAGAGCGCAGGCTGCGAACCAAAGTGTTGCAGGTTCGATTCCCAGTCAGGGCACATGCCTGGGTTGCAGGCCACAGCCCCCAGCAACCGCACATTGATGTTTCTCTCTCTCTCTTTCTCCCTCCCTCCCCTCTCTAAAAAATAAATAAAACCTTTAAAAAATATATTAACATTCAGCCCTGGCTGGTGTGGCTCAGTGCGGGGCTGTGAACCAAAAGGTCCCTGGTTCGATTCCCAGTCAGGGCATATGCCTTGGGTTGCTGGCCAGGTCCGCAGTAGGGGACATGTAAGAGGCAACCAATTGATGTATCTCTTGACCATCAATGTTTCTCTCCCTGTCTTCTTCCCTTTTCCTCTCTCTAAACATAAATAGATAAAATCTTTAAAAAGAAAATTAACACTCAGACATGTGGGCTATCTGCCCAGCACAGGTAACCATCTTATCTATCAGATTGAGCTCTTTGAGGGAAAGATGGTGTTTCAGTTGTAGCCTTAGCAGATTGACTGACATGATGGGTCAGAGTAACAACTTAGTGAATTTAATTGTTGATACTTCTTGTATCCCATGAACTTCTTTGGTTCTTGCTTCTTAGAAAGCTAGAACACCTCACCGATAAGACATCTTTTTCTTTTTCTTTCTTTTTTTGATGTAGAGCATCAAGGGAAAATCCAGCCATGCAGGAAAAAAAAAGGTCAAGCATCTGGCAGTTGTAAGTATCTTAAAGCACATGAAGACATTAGATGGCACTTTAGCCTTGACTTATAGTCAAAGTTTATTTTCAAGAATGATTTGATGCCTCCTGCCTTCCTCAGTTCCCTCCCTCCCTCCCTCCCTTTCTTAAGTTTGGGATATGGAGCTAAACCGAACCTTTTCTTTTTCGGTATGTAGTGTGCCAGCTCGGTAAGGCTGTTCTTGAGGACAGAAATAGTGCTGTCGTAAGCTGCATCCTTTTGGTTATGCATTTGATGGAATCCTCTGATAAGTAAAATAATGGGGAATTATTCATAGAGTTGATAATCATCTGGATCCCTGTTACTAAGGACTCATTCACTGGTTGTGTGATTGTAAGGAACTTGACAAAAGAAAGATTAGAGATGCAGTGGTTGTGGGGTTTCAGTTGTGTGTGTACGTCCATTTTGAACTTGAGCTGTGTTCATGCCAGAAGTATGTGTGTTTAGTGTGAATACTTACCACCCCTTTTTGGTGAATCTACTATTTAATAGAAGTATTGATTTTTTTTGAGTGAGTGTGAAAATAATTATTTAAATTTATTTTAATAAGAAAATGTGTAAGATGTGTCTTAAAATGGTAATGTGTGTTCTTCTACTTTATTGTAACTATTTTTAGAACTGGTGTACTATGCTTCTGTTCAAACCATGCAGCCAAAACCTTGCTGTTTAACACTGCTCTTAATATGACACCAAGTAGGAGCTAGCTAAAGGACCCATCTTCATTTACTTCTTCATTACAAGATGTTCCCGGTACTTTAGAGCTTCTTCCTTTCATTATGGGAACTGCTCATTAAAGAACAGGGATCCTGTCTAAGCAGTGGTTTCTCTTTCCTGAATGTCTGCTTTTGGCTGCATTTGGCTGTGAGTTACTGCTAAGGCTGCACTGTGTGATTACAAAAAAATTTTTTTTGCCAGTTTCTAACTCAGTTGCCTTGTAAAAAGCACTCTGGAATTTGTGGGAAATTATGGACTGTTCTTTACAGCACATGTAATGCATGCACAGACATACGCACACTTACTTTTTTTTTTTTTTTAGTTTTAGCCGACTTTTCAGCTCCTCAAGTAACACTACTAAGAAACCTGAACCACCTGTTAATCTGAAGTATAATGCACCCACCTCTCATGTTACTCCTTCGGTCAAGAAAAGAAGCAGCACCTTATCTCAGCTCCCCGGGGATAAGTCCAAAGCCTTTGACTTCCTTAGCGAAGAGTAAGTATTTTCCAGACTAGTGGTTATGCCCTCGGTAAGTTAACAGTTCAGAATATTCTTGTCACTTATCAGGTCAGCTATAAGTGTTAATCTGTACATAAACTATTTCTATAACTTGGCTATCTTAAGTAAATTATTTATAGTCAGTACCTTTTAGGAAAATTGTATTTCAGTTTTCATGAAGAGAAGGAATGTTTTTTAATGTGTCCTTTTTGCTGCTATGACAACATAGATAAATATTAATGGAAATATTAAAGGCTTATATAAACCTTTATCCTAAATCTTTGAACATTTCCTTTGGTGTCAGAAGGACTTGTTTTTTCATCCTGACTCTGCTTCTCATCAGGTACATGAACTTGGTACCTGAGCCTCTCAGAGCCCCAGTTTTCCTGCCAGTGGAAGGAGTGTAACAACCTGCCTCAGCGGTGTTAGGGTTCAGTTACAGAGTGTCTGTAAAGAGTCTGACTCAGAGGTGGATTGTCAACGGTCAGAAACATAGCAAGTCGCATCATAAAAATGTTAATGGCCCAGAGAAAGATACATTATTTTCACAGTATTTTACTTCATAATAATTCTACAGCTTACCAAGTCAATTTGCGTATTTGTCTTCTGAAACAAGTTAATGGGATCCAAGGGTTAATGTGTATTACCTTCCTAGGAAGATACTGATTTATTGGTCTTATTTAATGGTCTTTAGTACTTCTAGCACATTTCCTGGCATTAGAAAATTCTAAATATATATGTTTTGAATGACAAAAAAGAAAATAAAAAGGAAGAAGCAAAAATATTTAAGAATTTTTCCCTTTCGTATAGCCAGAATCTGAAACCTGATAGAAATTTGATGGCTGACTCAATATAATAAGCTGCTTACTAACCTGTTAAAAGTTGGATACTATATTCACTGCATAACTTAAGGCCATCTTTGGTATAACACTTTAAGGGGGAATCTTAGTCTGAAGTCAACTAATCTGAAATCATGTAATTTTTGTGTTGTTACTTTTGCTGTTTTAGGGGGAGAGCTGTCGTTATATTTATTCACTTGATGTAAAAAGGAAATCTCTTTCCCTTTTAGAACTGAAGCTAGTTTAGCGTCACGCAGAGAACAGAAGAGAGAACAGTATCGTCAGGTAAAGGCACATGTTCAGAAGGAAGACGGTAGAGTGCAGGCTTTTGGCTGGAGCCTGCCTCAAAAGTACAAACAGGTAATATGTGAACACGGTCAGGGCGTCTGGTGGGAAACTCGGGGGGACAGGAGTATGGCTGGGCATGAAGGAATGGAAAATCACACCCCGGCGCAGGCCTGTGAACCAAAGCATCGCGGGTTTGATTCCCAGTCAGGGCCCATGCCTGGGCTGCAGGCCATATCCCCAGTATGGGGTGTGCTAGAGGCAACCACACATTGATGTTTCACTCCCTCTCTTTCTCCCTCCCTTCCCCATCTCGCTAAAATAAATAAATAAATAAATAAATCTTAAAAAAAGAAAATCACACCCCGCACCCACTCATTTCAAGCTAAACGAAATTGGCATCGATCTAGAGAAGTGTTGATGGAAGTGGGTTTCAGGCTGTTTTCCACAGCTCTAGAGCCCAAAAGAAATTCCCGAGTCTGGAGGGGTCAACAGGAGGTGGCCAAGTGCATGGAACTTGAAGTATCCAGCTCTGTTTTAATATTTGAAGATTTCATTTTTTGGAAAATAAAAAGCATCTGTTTAAAAGTTTTAAGAGGCCATTGGCATGGAACCTTAAAAACTGTTGACTTAATACTCAGTTTAGGTCTTCAGGAACTTTACCCGTTTATTCCATGTTTTCTATTACCAAAAGACTCAGCAGCACATCCATTAATTCTGTTTCTCTCTCCCTCTCCCCCCTGGCCCGCAACACGCATACACCCTCCCACTCCCACATGTGCGAATGTCTCTGCGATCCCATAGCATCATGTTTATTTTCTCTAATTGCTTCTTGATTTTTCTCATTTTTCAAGTAAGAATGACAAAATTAACTTGAACTTGGTTTCAAAGAGAAAATCTGCAGCAGCAGTGCTTGCCCACATCTCAGCAGTTCTGTTCCATTCACTCTGTGCGAGGCTGACCCGTGTGTCTTTCTCTCCAATTGTTAGGTCACCAATGGTCAAGGGGAAAATAAAATGAAAAATTTACCTGTGCCTGTCTATCTCAGACCTCTAGATGAAAAAGATACATCAATGAAGGTAAATTCATTTTGAAGATAAAGGAGTTACTTCCTAAAATCTGGGTGGACTTTTTTGTAAACCAAAAATGGTAAATCCTGCTTTTGTGGATCAGATTATTTATTTTGTAGTTTTAGACTGGATACGTTAAATATTAAATACCTGCATTTATAATCATTAGACTATTGAAAATGAAAAATTCTAAATATTTTTAGAAAGTAACATAACACATTTCTTCTTACCCCTAAAAGCTGTGGTGTGCTGTCGGAGTCAATTTATCTGGTGGGAAGACCAGAGACGGCGGTTCTGTTGTAGGAGCAAGCGTGTTTTACAAGGATGTTGCTGGTTTGGATACAGAAGGCAGTAAACAGCGGAGTGCGTCTCAGAGTAGCCTAGACAAGCTCGATCAGGAGCTGAAGGTGTGTGTGTGCCCAAGAACACTTGCCCTCCTGGTATCTGAGGCTGCTGGTTTAGCTCTTTGGTCCAAAACTGACTTCTGGGTCCAGCTTCTAATTGGGATTACTGTGTCCTTGCTTACTCCTCACCCTTTCTCTCTTTTGAAAATCAGTTTTATTGAGGTATATTTTGCATAAATAAATTCTATACTTGAAATGTGTGCAGTTAAAAGCGTGTTGACTAATATATGCCACAGTCAAGATACAGATCATTTTTGTCACTGATATGCTTTAAGTGCTAGGTTTTAGACTGCTAATTAATGTTGTATTTTTTGGCCTTCCACATAATCTGGAAATAAACTTAGTATTGCTCTTGACTGTAATAGCACAGCTTTATGACTGTTGGCACACAGTTCATTGTAAACATTTTGTTTTCTTTACTCTGCCTATGCAGGAGCAGCAGAAGGAGTTAAAAAATCAAGAAGAATTGTCAAGTCTAGTCTGGATCTGCACGAGCACTCACTCCGCTACAAAAGTTATCATCATCGATGCTGTCCAGCCAGGCAACATCCTAGACAGTTTCACTGTCTGCAACTCGCATGTTCTATGTATCGCGAGTGTACCAGGTGAGGGTGAGCCGTGCCCCTCTCTCCCCACCGTCAGCACCTCCTCTGCAGGACTTCATCTGGTGACTGGAGGCACAGTTACGCACTCCTGCACGCAGAGTATGTTCTCTCTCACGGAGTTTATGTTCTAGTTGAGAAAGACATTGGGTGTCGTCCCACAAAGCAAGAAGTTGCCACTTGAAATAAGAGTCTTACTTCAAACCTGTAGTTGCTTTTATGGAGAAAATGCTATTATATGAGTTTACTTAGCATTAAAAGAAGGTATATTTATTCATTTAATTTTTTTCAGGAGCACGAGAAACAGACTACCCCGCAGGAGAAGAGCTTTCAGAATCTGGACAAGTAGACAAAGCATCTCTCTGTGGAAGCATGACAAGCAATAGCTCCACAGAGACAGACAGCCTGTTGGGAGGCATCACAGTGGTTGGTTGTTCCACGGAAGGTGTGACAGCGGCTGCCACTTCCCCTAGTACCAACGGTGCTTCTCCAGTGACGGAAAAACCACCAGGTACAGCTGTCCTCCTTGCATCCCACCTTTCTAGAGTCTGAGCCTACTCCAGATGCCTCACTGTGGACTTCACTTAGGTCTGAAAGTAACAAGAATGAATTAACCTAAGGAAGATGCTGTAATGTCTATTAAATGAAGTCATGAATTCTCAATTTCATGATATACTGCAGAGGAGGGATGGGGGCAGGTGTAGTGGAATTCTGTAGTGAGGATTTGTGTGAGGAAACTATGGGGAGAAAAGTTCAAACTCAGAATGGTGAGCATGTTTTATTTATTTAATTTTTAGAAAAGGAAGCGGAAAGTAGTGAGATTGATGAAAATGTTCCAACAGCAGAAGAAGCAACGGAAGCCACAGAAGGCAATGCGGGGGGGTCAGCTGAAGACAGCGTGGACACCTCCCAAAGCGGCGTGTACACAGAGCACGTCTTCACAGATCCTTTGGGAGTTCAGATCCCAGAAGACCTCTCACCAGTGTATCAGTCAAGGTATGCAAGTGGGCCAGCACCTTCAGGAACCAGATGAAAATATTCCCACTGATTGGCATCGTTGTGGCAGACACAGATGTTATCACTTATTCCTGCTCTGCCTTCATGTATCCTCCTTCATCCTCTCTGGATATTTTTTTCCCAGTGGCCCTCTTTTCCTTCCAACTTAAGAAAAAGTCTTGTCTATAAAATATATTGGTCAAAATCCCCCTGGTCATTTTCTCCTCTACTATGACTTTTTCTTTTTCAATTGTACTCACTGCCTCCCATTCTGTGAGTAACCCTTGATGTTTTAATCTCCACGCCTACTCTCACTCCTGCTCTAGTTGTCAGTGAAATTGGCCATTGTTTCAATTTTCCATGTGGGCTTGAATGACCTTTTTGAATTTAGTTTTCTAGCAAACATTTTATTAGAAAACGGTTTGTTTCAGGCTCTTTAAAAGGTTGTCTAATGTAGGCCCATTTATTGAATTCTTTAATTTCCTTTTTTACTTACTCTAGTTCGTAATAGAAAGCTGATAAGGGTATATCTAAATTGGATATATTTTTAAAGATTTTATGTATTTATTTTTAGAAAGGGGAAGGGAGGGAGGAAGAGAGGGAGAGAAACATCTATCAGTTGCCTCCTGTACCCACTCTGACCAGGGAGCGAACCCGCAACTCTGGCATGTGCCCTGACCCCAAGTCAAAGTGGCAGCCTTTTGCTCTGCAGGACAATGCCTGACCAGCTGAGCCGCACCAGTCAGGGTGAAACTGGGTTCTTTTTAAAATCTATTATTTTTCCTCTTACTATATACAACAACATAGTGTCTTGATATTTAATTGTTAATATAAGAGTAAAGTCATCTTTTTAGAATTAGTACATTTAATTGTCTGTGTTGTATTTGATAACCCAGTTGTAATTCTTTATTATATGTATCTAAAAGAAAAGGCTTGGAGGTAAATTCAAGCATGTTTCAGCTTTTTAATGTATTTTAGTAAATTTTTTACATTTTACCCTCCTTTGTGTATGTGTGTGGTTTTAAAACAAACCATCCCTTCATCTTTTCTCCTTTAGGATGAAGCTCATAAAATTCCAAAGGAATGTGAGAGAGAGCCATGATTTAGTGTAGATATATTAACTGCTGCGTTTCATTCCTGTTTCTTAACTCCCTTAGCCCCAGCTTGGTCCTCCTAGTGTGTTAATGTTCTTCTGGTACAATTGTTGAAATATTTAATGTAAGCATTTAACTTTGGCTTTTCTGGAATTTTCATGTTTGATCTTTTTTCTTAAACTGTAAACTAAAATGTAGAAGTGACCAATTCCTGAAGAATGAGCGTACTCTGATTCTTTTTCCTATCGTCCTGCCTTTCCAGTAATGACTCAGACGCGTATAAAGACCAGATATCAGCGTTGCCGAACGAACAAGACCTGGTGAGAGAAGAAGCCCAGAAAATGAGTAGCCTTCTACCCACTATGTGGCTTGGGGCCCAGAATGGCTGGTAGGTGCCAACTCTTTTCACATTAGAGTATCATTAGTCTTTTTACCTTTGCTTTTGAAATCAGAAGATAAGTAGAATGTTGTATGCATGTAAATATAAACAAAAAGTTTACATGAAAGCGAAGAATTCTATATACACACAAGCTAAAGTTATATTGCAGTTACCTTATAAACTGGACTTGCTTTGGTTCTGAAGGTAAGCCCTATGTTTCTCTGTTACAGTGTTCCCTTTATAGAATAGTCTTGGAAGAAGAGGTTAATAAAATTTTAAAATCTGGGTCATCCAGAAATAGAAGATTGCATAGAGACAGAGAATTATTGATGCATATATACAGGCTAGAGCCTGTTCAGGAAATACCAAGGATTATGTATTTGGCTGCAGGAAGACCCAAATCCAAATATTAACTTTTCCTAGAGTTACTAGGAAAACCAGAACAGATCAGTGTGAAAGCTTAGGAGGTAATAATGAACATTATTACATGGTTTGTTCACTTTCTAGCAGTGGGGAATCTTATAAAATTGTACATTTCCAAAAGGTAAGCAAGGTCACTAGGGTATCTTTTCCATAGGGGTCTAATACTATAAAGTGAGGGGTGGGCAGGCGTTTTCCATGAAGGATCCGATAAGAAGTGCCATGTGATCTCGAGCAACCTCCCAGCTGTGCTGTTGTGGTGCAGAAGCAGCCACTGCCTGACAGTATGTAGCAGGTTAGTGGGGCTGAGCTCCGATAAAACTTCATTTATGGACACAGATAGGGGTCTCTGTCCATACAGATCTCATATGTTATGACATACTCTGATTTTCTCCAACCACGTACAAACCATGCTTTTTAGCTTGCAGACTGGACTAAGACGGTGGCGGGCTGCATGTGTCCTGCAGGCCACAGTTTTCCTCCACCTGATGTACACCACTTGTTGTCACAAAGGCGTAATTCAGTCTGGTAGAAAAGTAAGATAATTTTTAAGAAGGATTTTAGCCAAGGATTCTGAAGTGTGGGTAACCTGAAACTAACTGACCCCGCATTATTCTAGTTCTGGCTTTTTGTTCTTCATATGTTTCTGTTTGCTTAAGCAGCTTATTTCTCTGCCTTAGACCTACCTGGACTCCCACTGTTTTCTTTTCCTAAAATGTCCGTTGCTCCTCTTTCCTTCTAAAGGAACTTGGTGGTCGTTATGAGATGTAAGCAATGACTTGATGTCCTCTATGCCTTACCAGTCTTGATTTTCTTCTTGCAGTTTGTATGTCCACTCATCTGTGGCCCAGTGGAGGAAATGTCTCCATTCTATTAAACTTAAAGATTCGATTCTCAGTATTGTGTAAGTTTGACTTTAGAAATTCTTTCTTTAAAAAAATGTGTTTTGATATAAACTAGATTTTAAGACTATTAAAGCTAACATGTACTTCATGACTAAATAAGTATCCAGGTTTTTTGTTTTGTTTTTTTTTTTTACCTTTACAGAGTTAGAGAAGTTGAGTAAGATTGAAACTCGGACTAGAAAGCTAAAGGGAAAACTTGCCAGGTTGATAGCTCACCGTGCTGTGAGTTCTTCAGCATTCTGGGGGAGAAAAACCAATTAATACCTGTTAATATATATTTGTTTTGGAGTATCCTTTATACTCTGTGAATATGATGATTAAGGCATTTACTAGTCCTTTTTCTCTATCAAAAACCCGTTTGTCTCTTAAGTCGCAGAGCTGCCTCTGTTAGCTCCGCTCAGGGTGCGCGTGTCTGGTCTCTGGACCCTGTGCCGACAGCCTGTGACGAGAGGAGGGGTTTGTGCCAGCGAGTGAGCACCCAGCTCTCCACACGTGCCGTTTATTGGTTCAGCTGGCGTTTTTGTGGCACGGCTTGCTCGGTGAAGAAAAGAGTGTGTTTATTTAGGTTCTGACTTACGTTCCTCATCTGTCACGTACCGGCCCTCTGAGAGCCCTGAACTAGTTCAGTATCACGCAGTCCCTCCTGTACTCTCGAATGGAGAGTTCTGACGCCCTCTTTCCTCTCTGCAGACACGTGAAAGGAATTGTGTTAGTGGCCCTGGCTGATGGCACCCTCGCCATCTTTCACAGAGGAGTTGGTGAGTCGTGATCAGTATACAGCTTGCACTAGCTTGTTGCTTCGTGAAAGCACTTTCAAGCAGATTGGTTTCTTGTGTTTCATTTTTATTTTTAAAAAGCAGATTTAAATTTTTTATTTATTTACTTTTGGGTGAGGGGAGAAGAGAAAGGAAAGGAGAGAAACATCAGTGTGCAAGAGATGCATGGTCTATTGCCTCTCACAAACCACCAGCTGGGGACCTGGCCTGCGACCCAGGCTTGTGCCCTGGGTGGGAATCGAACCAGCCCTTTCCATTTGCAGACCAGCATTCAGTCCACTGAGTCACACAGCCAGGGCTGGTTTCTTATGTTTTAAAGAAATGATGCTGAAGGGAGAGAGAATAAAGGTTTAACCTGATGCTAACACTGTGTGACAGCAGTAAACGAGTGAGTGCCTGCCTAGAGGTGTAACCGTTAGTAGTAGACCTCAGTGAAGGTAAGTTTACCATAACGAGCAAGCAGTTGATCATTTCACCGTCTTCTTGTATAATGTGGTGTAGAGGTGCTGGCTTTTCACTCATACACCTACTCAGTTGGAAGAAATTTAGTGAGAGGATATGTTTTCTTTTTTCCAGTATTTAAAAAATAATTTGCATCCACTTGCATTTGGTTAAGTATTTAAAAATAACTTTTAATTGGGTTAAGGTTTAATCATTTTTATATCATGTTGTTTATATTCTTCCCTGTCCCAGATTTTTTTTTAAAGATTTTATGTATTTATTTCTGGAGAGAGAGGGGAAGGAAAGAGAGGGAGAGAAACGTCAGTGTAAGAGAAACATTGACCGGTTGCCGCTCGCACGTGCCCCAACTGGGGGCTGAACCTGCAACCCAGGCATGTGCCTTGCCCTGGAATGGAACTTGGTGACCCCTTGTTTTGCGAAAGGACGCCCAACCAACTGAGCCACATCGGTCAGGGCTGTTACTTCTTTCCCTTTAGAACCATTGTTTCTACGTCTACAGACAGAGCGGTGGTGGGGTCAGAAACCTGCCTTGAGTGAATTAAATTAAGGGAATTGAGCTTGTAGCACTTCATAACTCTTTGGCACATGTATCAACCCAAAATGATACTTCATTTCCTACCTGCTAGATGACTAGATCAGGGAAATAGAAAGATGTAGATATACTAAATTCAGCTTTTAGCAAGGCTTTTCCCAAGTCTCATGTCCCTTTGGGCTTGGAAAAATGTGAGGTGGACGGGAGTACTTCAGTGGCTTTATGACCGACTGGCTGGGAGCTAGAGGTTTCTGGTGGCTGCGCGACAGAAAGAGCGCACGGCCTCTGTTCAGGCCCTTCACGGGCTCGGGTCCTAACCCTCACAGACCTCGGGCGGGCATTCTGCTCTCACCCTCCCTGTGTAGATGAGGGGGCTGAGGCAGAGTGTCTTAGTCCCTCAGCTAGTAAATGGAAGAGCCTAGGAAAAATGGAATAGTAAATGTTTTGGTAAACCGAATCCAAAATTATATGGACAGCAAGATAAGTAAAGTACATTTAATTTTTTAAAATGTTAAGTTCTGCATGTGGGTTCAGAAAAGTAAGATGGAGGAGACTGAAGGGTAAGACTTACTTAAAGGCTGGCTGCAAACTCAGTGTGTGGTACTTAGCATCTTCAGCCTCATAGGAACGAGTGTCCAGAGCAGGGCTCCACTCTGTCGATAGCGTTGAATGGACGTGGACAAAGAAGAGGTAGGATGAAGGGTCCATTAACATGTGCCAAGAATGCTTGCTTAGAAAGGAGAAGATGGGGCAGTAATAAAGAAGTTGGACTGCATTTATTCCGTTTCCACTGGGCAAAACTTTAGGCTAATAGGTCAGCGATTACACACGGGGAGGCAGACTTCTGACAGGGGTGGGGTACCTTTCTGGCGCTTCCAGCTCTCTCAAAGCGCAGCAGCTGCTTTGTAGGCAGGATGTTTTCTCTCCCCGAAACCGTTCGAGCAGAGCCAGCTTCCAGTGGTTGGCTCTCGTTTGTGCTCTGTCATCACCAAATGATAGCACACACGATTCCTGAAGTCGCCCTTGACTTCTGCCCCAGAAAGTACATTAAAATGCAAGCAAGACAGATTATCCCCCAAATAATTTTAATCCCTTCTAATTCTTAAAATGTTATTATAACTAACTTGTAACTGGTTTATCATGTCACTGCTGTTGAGAGTATGTGGGCCCAGGTACTGGGTGGCAGGTTAGATTGGATGACCTTTGAGGTCTCTTCCAACTTTGCAGTTTATAGAATGAGAGAAACTCAATTTCTACAAATAAAAGATAAACCGAGTACATAGTATTTGGAGGTGCTTCATGAATAAATTTAATTATACACCCTGATAGAATCTTTCTTGTGTTAAAGTTCAGTAAAAGGTGATATGCATTAACTAATAATCTATTTCTTATTTTAAAGATGGGCAGTGGGATTTGTCAAACTATCACCTGCTTGACCTTGGACGGCCTCACCACTCCATTCGATGCATGACCGTGGTGCATGACAAAGTCTGGTGTGGTTACCGGAACAAAATCTATGTGGTTCAGCCGAAGGCCATGAAAATAGAGGCAAGTTAACCCGTGTTTTCTCTGCTTAATGAATTTGTTTTTCCTGAAGATCCTAAGACTAATTATTTTCAGCTTCTTTCGAAACTATTTTTGAATCTGTGTATTTTAGAGTACTTCAGAGATACGTTGATGACATCTTGCTACTTTTGACTTTGAGGGTAGGAAGCATTTTTTTTTTAAAGAAGAGGATTAACACAAATGTTTAAATATCCATAATGTCTCAATATCCATAGATGCATACATGTATTGTTTGAGTATGTGGTTCTTGACTTGTTTAATTATGGGTTGTGGCGAAGGAGAATCCCCAAGTCTCTGCTATCCCACATATATTTATGCCAACCTGCATGTGTGTGAAAGACTGAGAAATAAGATTGTAATAAGTGTTTGTTGCAAAAACAAAAGCTTCTTCGCATTGCTTTCTTTTAAAAAAAACTTTGCAACAATTCTACTTTTTTTTTTTTTTAAGAAAACTTAAAGCAGGAAAATTTCAAGGTGAAAGTCCTCCTCCTTTCATCCCAAATCTCATCCTCTTACCCAAAAACCCCAAAGTTAACCATTTGGTGTTTATTTTTCAGATCTGTTTCTTGCATGCAGATTAATACATACACACACATGCAGCAATGCAAGTTCCTTTTTGTTTAATTACAAACAGGATCTTCATGTATTACTCTGCATCCCCAAAAAACTTGAGATCAAATTTAGTCTTTTTGTTGAATGCTGACACACAGCATGAGTGTGCCAGTATTGCTTCCATTAGTCGATGGCCTGTACAGTTAAAATTGAGCACCCTTTAGTTCTTTGTTCTTCATTTTGTTTTGCAGTCTGGGATCGAAACTATTGTGTACAGAGGAATGATTGTATTTAGTGGACACTAGTTAAACTCCTCTTTTAATACTCATTCTGCCAAATTTTTATGCAGATTAGCACTGTTTTTAAACACAAACTCCTACCTAATGAAAGTAATGTTGTGGTTGAACAATCTTCTCTAGAAATCATTTGATGCACATCCCAGGAAGGAGAGCCAGGTGCGGCAGCTCGCATGGGTGGGTGACGGCGTGTGGGTCTCCATCCGTCTGGATTCCACACTCCGTCTCTATCATGCACACACTTATCAACACCTGCAGGATGTGGACATTGAGCCTTATGTAAGCAAAATGTTAGGTAAGCTTCCAGATCATTTTATTTTTGTCAATTAAAGGAAATGTTTTATTTTTAAATGTTCTCAAATGCTGGGTGGAACCAATGAATCAGTTGCCTGAGGAATAGTGAGCTCTTAAATCACTAAAAGTGTCAGACAGATCCTTCACCTGCCCTGTGGGGAACTGTCAACTCTGCCTCCAGAATTATCTTAAATCAGTTACTTGTTTATCTCTACTGTCCCCGTACCAGGCCACCATCCTTTCCTGCCTGGATAACCGCGAATCTCCCGTTTCCACTCCAGCCTGTTCTCTGCGTAGTAAGCCATGTGCACCATCACCACTTACATACTTCCACTTACGACAATCCAGCCACTTTTGGAATACTACTGTCTTTACATGAGGTGACATTTGTGACATGACAAAGGAATTTAAGTGGCCTGGACCACTCTCCTGACTCGGTACTACCCATACAGACCCACACTCTCACTGATCCAAACTCAGCAAGTTCCTTCCTATTTCAGGGCCCTCACACCTACTGTATCTTCTGCCCGAGGAGTTCTTGGTCCCTGTTTACTTGGCTTTCAGACCATAGCTTACATATCACAGCCAGAGGGGACCTTTTCTTATCTCCCAGTTTGATTTAGAACCACTTTCCTTCCTTCCTTCCTTCCTTCCTTCCTTCCTTCCTTCCTTCCTTCCTTCTTTCTTTCTTTCTTAAATTGTTTTATTTTATTTCACTTAAAGAGGTTTTTTTAAATTTGTTTGTTTTTAGAGAGCAGGGGGGAGAAAGAGAGGGAGAGAAACATCCATGTGTGGCTGCCTCTCACACACCCCCCAACCGGGCACCTGGCCTGCAACCCAGGCACGTGCCCTGACTGGGAATTGAACCGGCAACCCTTTGGTTCGCAGGCTGGCACTTAATCCACTGAGCCACACTGGTCAGGGCTCTTACGCTGTTTCTTTGTGGGCTTGTCATTGAGTTTGCACTGGTTTTATGTGATTCTTGTTTCCTATCTCCCTGTCCCACAGACCACAAACCCCATGAAGGGCAGTAACCACTTTGGGCCTGTTCCTTAGCTCCTAATGCAGGGTTATATGACTTTTAGGGATATCGTTAATGATTCCTTTATGAAGAGAGGCTGAGCTGCATCAGTGGTTTTTAACCTGTGTGCTCTCCCTGGAATCAGACATATGTTGTACACATAGACACAGACTAATTTCAAGGATAAACTTTGACCATAGGTATAAACTGAATAGAGTTAAGACTTCTTCTAACACTGTGATTCTGTGATCATACCCTGAGTTTGTAAAAGTAGAACTTGAGTGACTAAATGCTGTTTGTCTTTTTTTTTTTTTTTAAGATGTTATTTATTTCCTTTTAGGGAGAAGGGGAGGGAGGGAGAAAGAGAGGGGGAGAAACATCAGTGTGTGGTCGCTTCTGGCACACTCCCAACCAGAGACACGACCCGCAACCCAGGCATGTGCCCTGACCAGAACTGAACTGGTGACCCCTTGGTGGATAGGCTGGTACTCAACCCACCACACCACACCACACCACACCAGCCAGGGCTAAATGCTGTTTGTCTTAAGTGTATTTATCTGTTTAATGATTTGGCTTCTTAAATCCTAGAAATAAGATAATTTATAAAAATTCCCTTGAAATATAAAAGTGCGTTGATTCTCCCTAAATTATGTCTATGGTTTCCTAAAATTGCTAAACTGCTGTCAAACCTAAATATATGAACAAGGAAAGAATGTTGGTTTTGTTAGCAAAGATTGTTTTTACCTATGCAAAGAAATTTAAGGCAAGCTAGAACTTTTTTAGCTTATAAATTGGAAGGACATTGACTTCCTGTTTTAGTAAACACTTTTTATTGAGGGTTTTGTTTTTGTTTTGTGTTTTGGTTTTTGCAGCTCCGTAATTAAATCCTGTGTCATATTACCTGAGCCACAGTATCTTACTTCTAATGATCATATAATGTCAGCCACGTTTAGATTTTTTTTCCCCCATTACCCATAGGTGATAAAGCCAAATGAGAATTTGCTTTGACATGTCCCTTCAGGGAACTTTCAAGTGGTTCTGGTCACATTTCCCTGTTATATTAGCCCGCTACTCTGAGGGACTGGTAAAGGAAAATGGTCATCTGCTCTAGTTTCTCAATGAAATGTCTCCCCCTGCTGTACAGGTACTGGAAAACTGGGCTTCTCTTTTGTGAGGATCACAGCCCTCATGGTGTCTTGCAATCGTTTGTGGGTGGGGACAGGAAATGGTGTCATTATCTCCATCCCACTGACAGAAAGTAAGTATGTTTTCTCCTGACTGTCACAGTACAGGCGGGCGAGTGGAGGGAGCGCTCATGGCCGGGGTTCGGGCATAAGGCGTTGTCTTGGTATCGACAACTCGGGTAGCTCCGAACACCAAGCTGGCGGCAAACGTCTGACCGCTGTTCCTTCACTCTTCCTGTGGAACTCACAAACTGTAGCAAATGACAATTCCCATATGTCGGGACCAGTATTTATAACGAAAAGCTTTTCTTTCTGAGAAGCTTCATTTCAGCTCAGGAGTAACAGTCCTGTTCCGCTCCACTTTATTACAGCAGCATTCAGCAACCCTACTGGCATTCATCCTAGTTTTTCACATTCTCCCTGGCAGTGAGCTTAGGATACCCCATTTGGCTTACTCACGGTTTAGAAAACGTCACAGGAGAAGTTTCTCAGGAGGTCAGCAGGCCCTCCTTATGCAGGAGACAAGTCATCCAGCCTATATTTGAAAAGAATGTGAACAAAATGTACATTATACGATCTTTATATTATGTCCCATTATTATTATTTTTGTGAACAAAATATGCATTGTGTGTTTCTCATGTTATGTTCCATTACATTGACCATTCATTAAATAAATGTTTTCGTGTTGCAAGATTCATGGGCATGCAGTGGTTTGAAAACAAATGCCCTGAGTCCATAAAATGAGTTAACAGGCACCTCAGAATCGTCTTGCCGCTTTTCAGGGGAAAGGAAGGGGGAGTGGAAGGCGGTGTGTCTGGAGCCTTTAAGGAACCTAACTTCTTAAACAGTATAAGTCTACGTGTTTAGACCACTTATATCCTGAGAGATCCTAGGATATCCCCAGAGTTCATTTCAGCTCTTTATAACAGAGAGTTCCATTTTAGCATTGTTACTTTGAACAGGATTTCTTTCAGTGCCTGCCATGATGAAGCAACCACTTGAGCTAAAGCCGACCCTGAACAGGATTTCCTTTAGATGGGAGGCGGGGAGGGGGACGTCAGCACTTAGGAAATGCTCTCCATTAATTAAGTTCTCGTTAAATTATGAAGCACTGAAATTGCTTTTTGATTAAGCAAAACAAAACCAGCTAATCAAAAATTGTACTTTTTGAGCAGTGAAATTCTAGAGAGAGGCTTTGGTAAGAACTTTTGAGTATTACTTGGTATTATACCAAGTTGCATTTGATTAGGAGCTTTGGGCACCCAGCTGCCAGACGGAAGACGCTGAGAGTGGTGGCCCATAGTAATTCTTCTCCCCCTGTCGTGCACCTCTCCATGTCCCCTCTCCTCCTCTCTCACTGTAGCTGTAATCCTCCACCAGGGACGTTTACTGGGGCTGAGGGGTAAGTGCAGATCCTGAACCAGCTCTTCCTCCTGGCTTCTGGTAGCCACCGTGAGGCTGTTCCCACGTCTCTAGATCCCTCTGAATGTTCCTAAATGTCATCCACTCGCAGTCACTGCCTCGCAGCAGGCGTTTTTTGTTGTTTCCGATGTCTGTTACATGGCCACCAAACCACTGCGCAGCAGCTTAGTCTATTTATCATCTTTTGTTGCAGCTGACCTTTCTTTCAGACTTTTTTCCTGCCAATAAAAACACGAAACATCTCTTAAAACTGTCATTAATCTACATTGTTTACTCTTGTTACCAATCATGTTTCTTCCATTCACTTACTGGCCCATGGAATGGGGATGCTTTGTGAGTCTGGTCATTCTAAAACAATCCAGCAAATCATTGGTCTGGTGTAAATCAAGGCCACCTTGTCGTAGTGGCTGGGTCCTTTTAAGCACAATTCTTTACCACTCCCTGCAAGGGATATTTTTACCACAGGGGAGACAAACCAGAAGATAAAGTATAAAATTTTTATTTAAAAATATACCCATTTCCTTTATACTATGTAACTGGCTAGCTTTCTAGAATGAGGATTAAAAAACAAAACAGACATACCTAAGATTCAAATGTTTTGTTAACTAAAATGATTTTTAAAAATTAATAGATGTGTTTAAAAGTAAGCTTAGTTATTGCTAGACTGGCAAAATCCCCTACTCCATTTACTGAAGTACTTAAAAGCAACTAGCATGCTATGTATCTTTTTTTCTAGCTTTGTCTTGATTTGGCATTGCTGCCTTCGTTTTACCTCAACTGGCTGTAGCTTTTAGATAATATCATAAGGATTAACCAGTAACCTCTTGCATCATCACTATTTTCTGGAGAAAATATTTGGTATTTGGTTTTTTCATTGCAGCAAATAAAACCTCAGGAGCACCAGGAAATCGTCCTGGAAGTGTGATTCGTGTATATGGTGATGAAAACAGTGATAAAGTGACTCCAGGGACATTTATACCCTATTGTTCAATGGCACATGCACAGCTTTGCTTCCACGGGCATCGGGATGCTGTGAAATTCTTTGTGGCAGTCCCAGGTGAGTGAGATTCGGAAGTTGTGTGTCTTTGTCTTTTGTCCCTTGGTTCCACTCAGATGCGAAGTGCTGGGATTGCAGATGATTTCACTATAAAATACAAAGAGTTCTGTAATAGAGGTAGGAATAAAGCGCTGTAGGGTTATCTGAATGAAATTGTTTTGGAATCTCTCCTCCACCCCCCAAAACAAACTTCTTGATTTTTTTTATTTAAGAAATCTTCTTACTTTTGAAAAGCAACGCTATTATTTTGTCACCAGAGAATACCCAAAATGGTCTAGGCTTAATAAGGGAGAAGGAAGCCCCTGTCACCAAGGCTTTGTGCGGGGAGGCTCGGAGAACGTGCACCTGCACCTGCACCTGCACCAGCGTCAGGGCGTCAGAGCCTGGGCGTCGGGGCCCTCCGCGGCACTGCTTGCCTGCCTGTTACTTTGAACAAGTCACTTAACCTCTGAGGCTCATTTCCTCGGTTCCTTAAGTGGACGTGGTATCTGCTCTCTGCCGACCTCATTTGTTGTGAACACTAATGAAAGTACTTTGGGGACGATAAAGTACCATCTAGAGCTGAAAGGTGGTCGTGGTGATGTCTGATGAAAATGTTCTCTCCGTTGAGAACACTAAGATAATGTTACTTCACCATCTGTAATCAGGACCTGTTTTGAATTTTTCCCCCATAAGAGGCAAGTTAGTTGCCACACCAAACAACTGTGTAATATTGGAAGTAGTAGTTTCTCAGTGTATTAGTTAGGGTTTTTCAGAGAAACAGAACCAATGGTGGGGGCGGGGGGCGGTGACAGAGAGGAGGGAGAGGGACAGACGTGAGGGAGGAGTAAGGGGAGATGCTTTTATTTATTTATTTTAAGGAGTTGGCTCGTGTGACTGTGAAGGCTGGCTTATTTAAAATCTGCAGGGCAGGCGGGCATACTGGAGACCCAGGAAAGTGTTAATATTGCAGCTCGGGTGCAAAAGCAGTCTGGAGGCACAGCTCCCTCTTCCTTGGTGGGGCTATGTTTTCCTCTTAAGATCAACAGCTGATAGGATGAGACCTGCTCACTGTGTGGAGAGTAATCCGCTTGACTCAAAGCCCACTGATTTAAATGTTAATCATACCTTCACGGCAATATCTTCACCAAATATCTTGGCACCATAGCATAGCCAAATTGCCAACATAAAATTAGCCAACATAAAATTAGCCATCACACTTATTTTCCCAAGGGTGTCCCAAAGATGAGGTGATGAGTGTACATAGTGCAGGGCTGGCGCGTGGTACCTGGCCACTCCATATTCTTAGCAGTGGGGTAGTGAGCTCCCTGAAGCACAAATCTTGTATATTTTGTATAGTTATTTCCTTAGGATAAAGTCCCAAGTACGGAACTGCTGGTAATAGTGTTTTCTTGCTTTCTTAAAGAAAAAATGTGTCAAAGAGTCCCCTCCGAGTCTCCTTTATATCCCTCCAGTTTCACTGCCTTGCCTTCTCCATCTGGAACCATTATCCTGCCCATGTTTTTCTACTTTTCCTACATTTGACATAGTCTCTATAAACAGTGTATAATATTTTTGTGCTTTTGAATTTATTTAAATGTTATGGTACATGAGTATTCTTTGGCAACTTCCTTCTCATTTTTGAGATTTGTTCAATTTATACATAAAAATCTAGTACATTCAGTGAACTGTGTTCCAATATCTGAATAAATGGGTTCCATTCTTCTATTGATGGACCTCTCAGACCCCCCCCCCGCCATATTAAAAATAATACTGCAGCAGACCTTCCTGTAGACATGGGGAGGACTTTCCTGTTGGGTATAAATCTAGAAGTAGATTTGGCAACATTGTTGACCAGTTGGCCCTAAGGATTAAACCGTTCAGGCTGGCCTTACTGTCATACTTCTGTGTTCCTGCTTCTGTGGCAGAGCCGGCTAGCCTGCGCACAGTTTTCTCTGGCAGGCCTGGTTTCCTCCAGAGTATAATTGAGTAATGCACAAATGAGACACTACGGGAATACATCAAACCGTCCTACCCAATTTGAGCGTAAATTAATTTTTAAAAGTGTGTCAGGCTGTGTTCATAGGGCTGTGTTCTGTGTGTCCTAGAAGCGTGGTCTGTGCGGTTTGACCGAAGGACAGTAGATTCCGGCAAGAAAAGACAAATGCCCTGCAGTCAGAGCTTTTTAAGAGGGATGTTTTAGAGATTATAGTGTGAATGATATTTGAAGGTTTCTCTCCCACCATTTCACGCTCCAGGATTCTACCTTAGAACTTAAACAAATGACACATTTACTGGTAATTTTATTTGCATAATCTAAATTAAAAATAAAAATAAGGCATACTTTTCTTCCATATGAGAGGAAAACCATGGATTTGAAAAATAAATATCAATTAGGAATACCCAAACTCATAAGGCTCAAGGTGAAGACTTTCCTTAGTCTCTTACACAAATGCACAAGCAGCCGGCCAGGGGAGAGACCTTTCCATTGTCCCTCAGCTCAAACCACACGGACTGTAACAGTCTGAAGCGGGCAGCTGAGACCGGCCTGGCCGGACACGGGTTCCGTGCTGGATTTGGACCCGTGTCTGTTTTGGTATAAAATGGCTTCATTTAGATTTTCAAATGGGGCTCTCACGGCCTTTGTAGATGTTTTCTGATCATGCAGAGGCGTCCAGCATCCCCAGTACTTTGGTTGTATGAGGATATGCTTACCTTCTTGTTCAACTTTCTGAAAATACTTAGAAAAAAATGAGTCTCCCCACCCCAGTCAGTGATAAGTAATATTGACTTGTTCCTGTATAAATAGGTCAAGTTGTCAGCCCACAAAGTGGCCCTAGTGGCACAGATCTGACAGGTGACAAAGCAGGGCCATCTGCACAGGAGCCTGGCAGCCAGACGCCCTTGAAGTCTATGCTTGTCATCAGTGGAGGCGAGGGCTACATCGACTTCCGAATGGGTAAGCTGGCGGTTCTGGTCTCCACCGCGCTCCGCGACTCGGGTTTTCACCCAGAGGAAACAAGAAACCGCTTTAATAAGTGGTTTCTAAGAGGTTTTCTTTTTAAATTCCTTACTTGGAAAAGGACTCGATATATCTTTTTTCCTCCTTTTCTTTTTTCTTTCTTTATTTATTTAGTGTTTTTATACTAAGATGTATTTGTTTTGTTTGAAGCAGCTTTAGAAAATGGCAGGGTTCGGTCATATATTGCGTTACATGGGAAGAGCATGTGATGAGGTCAGAAGATCTTGGGCATTCTACCTCCCAGAACCTCAGTTTTCTCACCTGCAAAACAGAGAAATAAAAATACTTTATAAAGTGTTGTTTGTATCAAAATTGATTTCATGTGTTCATTTTCTCACCTTAATCAACATTAATTATGTGCCTGTCAGCCTTAATCTTGAGACCAAAGTCTCCCTCGGGTAGTTGGAGGACAGTGCGGAGATAGTGTTGGTAAGCGGCAGTGGGAGCGGTGCCCTGACGGAGAAGGACAGGGGAGGAAGGAAGTCAGAAGTGATGCTCGAGGTGACTCAACACCGAATAATGTTAGTCTAAAGAACTGGGTTAGTGCCCTGGTCAGTGTGGCTCAATTGTTTGGAATATCCTCCCGTGGCAAAGAGGTTGTAGGTTCAATTCCCAGTCAGGGCACATGCCTAGGCTGTGGGTTCAGTCCCCTGTCCGGGTGCATACAGGAGGGAGGCAGTTGATGCTTCCTTCTAACATCGATGTTTCTCCCTTACTCTGTCTCCAAAAAGCAATGGAAAAATATCCCTGGTGAGGATTTAAAAAGAAAAAAAGAAAGAAAGAAAGAATTGGGTTAGGGAATGGAATGGGGGTCCTGGGGAGATTGGCATTCTAAGGTAAGAAAATAGCTTGACCAAAAGTTTGGAAATGTGAAGCCACCTTAATTAAAGAAAAGCGTTTAACATGACTAGAGTTTGGAGTAGAAGCAAGTGCAGATTTGACCAAAGATAAATCCAGACAGGAGGGCGGCTGCATTATAGAAGGCCTTTATATACCTCATTAAGTACTTTGTATTTTTATCTTTAAAGCAAAGGAAAACTGTTGGAAGCCTTAACAGAAGAGCAGTGTGATCAGATGTGTGTGGCAGGTGGATTGGAGAGACAAGACTAGGGACACGAGTCCCTCTCCCGAGGGGAGAGTGCGTGGCTGAGGGAAGCGTACGAAGGGGCAGGAGTGGGGAAGGGTCAGCCCAGTCACGGCCCCTCACCAACTGCATGCTCCGAGAAACGTGTTTTAAGTAATTGACGATCGGTGCGGAATTCCTCTTTAAAGAGGGACTTCATTCAGCCGGGGCGGCTGCTGGAGCTCTCTGTGAGCTGTGGCGTGGCAGTGGGGACCATACAAAGTACTTTAGGTTAATAAAATATCTTTGTAGTTCTTCCATTTCCACAAAAATCTTTTAACATTGTGAATTCTGGGAATAGCATAAAAATTACTTTATCAGGTTTGTCAGTGTCTCTACGTAATCCAGCCTGAAAAACAGATTTGTCTGAGCTTAAGTAAATTTCAGTAGTATATTTTTTAAATTTCAATTTGATCTTTTTGGTTTCTTTTCCTTTTTCATTTCCCATAATATATTACCAATGAGAAACGCATCCCAACAATCTAACATTTTTTAAAAGGTATCTTCTTTTTTTTAATATTTATTTAGTTTTAGAGAGAGGGGAAAGGAGGGAGAGAGAGAGGGAGAGAAACATCAGTGTGTGGTTGTCTCTCATGTGGCCCCCACTGAGGACCTGGCCCACAACCCAGGCATGTGCCCTGACTGGGAAGCGAACTGGTGACCCTTTGGTTCTCAGCCCGTGCTCAATCCACTGAGCTATACCAGCCAGGGCCAATTCTTTTTTTTTTTTTTAAGATTTTTATTTACTTATTTTCAGATAGAGGAATAAGGAGGGAGAAAGAGAGGGAGAGAAACATCAATGTGAAAGAGAAACATCAATCTGTTGCCTCTTATATGCGCCCCAGCTGGGGACCGAACCTACCGCTCAGGCATATGCCCTGACTGGGAATCGATCTGGCGACCTTTTGCTTTGCAGAGTGATGTCCAACCAACTGAGCCACACTGGTTAGGGCAACAGTTCCATATATTTAATGAATTAATTAAGGATGTAGAGGCCTTAGGAAATAGGGTAATTTTATTTCTTTTTCTTTTTCTTTTTTAAATTATATGTTATTGATTGTGCTGTTACATTTGCCCTAACTTTTCCCCCCTTTGCCCCCCTCCACCCAGCACCCCCCAGTCCCTCAGGCAGGCCCCCCACCATTGTTCATGTCCATGGGTCATGAGTATAAGTTCTTTGGCTGCTCCATTTCCGACATCCGCTGTACTTGACCTCCCCACGGCTATTCAGTGACTACCTATTGGTACTCAGTCCCCTCACCTCTTCACTGGTTCTCCCCCTCCCCCTCCCACCTGGCAACTGTCTGGTAACTAATTTCTTTTCTTTTGCTTTTAAGAGTCTCTCTTTATCTTTAACATTTGGCTTTTTAATAATGATGCGTCTTAGACTGGGCCTCTTTGCATCCATCATAATTGGAACTGTCTACTTGAAACAGTAATTTTAAAAACAGAACCTTCAGAATAAAAACAGCTCAAAAACAAATGCCAAAAATCTTTTGTCTCAGCCAATTAACGTCATTATCATTGTAGTTTTAAAAAATTGAAAAAGCAAACTTAATTTTTTCCATTCTAACTACCTGATTATAGTTCAGTTCAGAAACTAGATTTTTCCTTGAGCCTTTACAGCATGCTCCTCTCCACAGTGGGGCGTCGCCCCGGAAAGGCCACTGGGGGGGTGGGTAAGGGAGGGTTTGGCCTGCAGAAAGAAATGCTCATCTTTTTCACTGTTTCTAGTTGACAGTATCAGTGTTTTCTTGTTTGCTCAGCTGAAATTCAGGTGAGACACGTTACAGAATTCTTCTACATCAGTGTTATAGCTTTGCCCTTTGTTACACAAGTTGGTAGATACTCTGCTGAAGAATCTGTCCCACTAGATGAGTTGTCACTGGGTTGTGTCAGAATAACCCAGTTCTGCAGCAACAAAACCGACTGATGCGCACTTGTAGCGAGAAGTCTGGCATGCTGGCGTGGGCCTCGCCACGCCTTTGATTGGGGCCTCATTTGCCAATTCACTCAGCTACTCCTGGAAGGAACCCTAGCCTGTTTGTACTTCGGCCTCATCTCTTCATCCCCACCATACACTGTTAGTTTGTTGCCCATCCTGAACTTGAAAACCATGGGAAAAGCAGTATGTTATGTGATGAATCTGCCATCTCCTAGTGCTGCGGGGAGATGATGAGTGTCCCTGTGCTTGTGTCGGTCTCTTGGACTGGGGAACTTCAGTGTCACCGACAGCAAGCAGGGATTGTTCAGGTTTAGCTGGTGTGTGGGGTCTGTCCCACGCTTTCACATTTATAATGCTATCTAGTCGCAGTTCTTAGTTGGCAGTAGACAAGAGTAGACTGTCCATTTTGGATAAAGACAGAATTGGATAGCTTCGCCTTCTTAGCTCCCATTTGTTTTTGTTTTTGTTTTTAAGGTTTTACTTATTTATTTTTAAAGAGGGGAAGGGAGGAAGAAGGAGAGGAAGAGAAACATTAGTGTGTGGTTGCTTCTCCCCTGCCCCCTACTGGGGACCTGGCCCACCACCCAGGCATGTGCCATAGCCTAGGAATCTAACCTGCAACCCTGTGGTTCACAGGCCGACACTCAATCCACTGAGTCACTCCAGCCAGGGCAGCTCCCATTTCTTTGATCTTCAGTATGCAGGCATGTTGGGATGAGTCTCCAACATAGTATAGTGAACTCACTGTTTCAGGTGTCGTCTGAAAAGTGAATTAACCTCCTCAGAAGTCAGGCAGTGAAGAGTTTGGTCATGGCACCTCTCTTCACGTGCTGTCTGCGAGGGGAGTCAGACAGGCTGGGTGCGCGGGTCCATGCACCCACCTGACGTGCATCAGCCTGCGTATTGCCTGCTCACCCTAACCTCAGGCTCCTTATCATCCCCCAGGTGACGAAGGCGGAGAATCAGAACTTCTGGGAGAGGATCTTCCGCTTGAACCTTCTGTTGCCAGAGCGGAAAGGAGTCACTTGATAGTGTGGCAAGTGATGTATGGCAGTGAGTGAGCCCGTGGACCCAGGCGGAGCCGGGAAGCCGCCTCTTCTGCATGGTTTCTTCCCCTTGTCCTCTTCATTTAATGCTCTCCTTGTGAAACGAGTTTCACCACACAACATGAGCATTTTTTCCCTGTTAACTGTACAGAATCTGTCTTACTGTAACAATACCAGGACTAGCTGTTTTACTGCACCAGTGTTATTGGCAATTTCAGTATATTATGAACAAATCAAAGAATGTTTACTGTCTGCAAACTGGTGACTTACAAAAAGCAATCCGGATGTGGTTTATTCTGCCACAACTAATGTCACTCACTTCATTTGATGGGGTCACTTTTTAGCTATCACTAATAACGGAATTAATGGAAATACTTGGTAAATGAAACTGTACCATTAAGTACAATAGTCAAGTTCCCCTCAATGTACTATAAAATTGACACAAACTAACATTGGGTGGATTATCGGGATTTATCTAAGTGTCCCGAGAGGGCTAAACGCTAACTGTAAATTGCTTTAACTTTCACTTTCAAACCTGACAAATCTTGTTAATATGGTATATAAAAACTTTGTTTTCATCAGATTTGGGGGGTTTTATATTAAAGAAATGAAGACTACACTATTTAAATAAATGTTTCCTATTTCTGACTTAATAGAGCTCTAAAGTTTATGAGGCCTGCTTCTCTGAATATTCTGATTTTTTTTGAGACTAGTTAGTTTCACTCATTTTCATACTAACACGTCCGAAAGGTTTATACTTACAAGGCTTAGAAGACAGGCGTCAGCAGTGGGAGGATTTTTAAAAGAAATTGTGTTTTGGATTTGTTGTACCAGCACATCGTAGTGGTTGGATGCGTTTTTTCATGTAAAAAAATTTACCTGTTTACTAATTGTTCTTGGGCTGCCGTTACCAGTTCATAGGAGTGAAGCTGTAGTGGTGGGGGGGCGCGGCCAGTGGAGGGAACGCGGGACTCGGTTACAGACGGTGTTTCCTCTTGTTCTGTGTACAGCTGCAGGACAGCCTGCACTTGGTTCTTTGTATGTAAATGACACACTTGAGCTTTTGCGCCCCTGCAAGATTAACATGCCGTCTTTGAAGAGGAGAACTGTGAAGGGTAAGACGACAAAGCCGAGACTCCGTGGAGTAACAGTCCCTGCGACATCCCTTCCCTCCCGGTGCCCGTTCAGAGCTGCAGCCTGGGTCTGACACTTCCTTGTGCAGTGAGTTCTTAAGGAACCGTCATGCTGCCGTTTTTTCCCTCTCACGCTTCTTGAAAATGTGTGATTTACCATGTTTTTTTCATTACTTTAAGCAAAGCTAAATACAAATTTAAGTGCTATTTTAAAAATGTAAACCCATTGGATAAGACCCCTCATCAGAAGGACTATTTGAAAGAGAAGAAAGCAGGCCCGGGGCTCGCCTGTCCAGGCGTTCTGAAGTTCCAGGGACTCTTCCCTGGACTGCCGTGAGGGTGTTTGTGGAAGTGCACCCGTGTCTTCTAAGCATATACGTGATTCTGCTAGATTATGAAACACATGAGATTTAAAGAGCCGGAGGAGGCCTTCAGATCCACTGGGCACGTGTGTCTGCAAGCACGTCGTGTGCGCAGTAAAACTGCGGCCAGGTCAGAGGCTAGAAGAAACAGCTGCGTGGTGAAAGTGGCGTTGAAAGGGTGATTTTTTTGCTTGAGGTGCGTACTTTTCTTCAGGCAGAGCACCAAAACTTAGGCCACTTTTCCATCCCATTCAGGCTGTGTTTGTATTTCAGCTTCAGCCTGTTATTTTGGCAGTACCTTTAAAAACCCACATCCTTGAGCATGTTTGGGGAACGTTGTAGAAATTCACGAAGAAGAGAGAGCGAAGTGTTGGGGAACGTGGACCCTAGAGCCACACCCCACTTGCTGTTGAGTCTTTTACAGTTTGTGTGACCGAATGTAAGTTAGGAAATCAGGATTTAAAGATGAGAAATGCAAACAAACATGTTACAATGATTATAATTGTTCTTTTAAATTTAGTGGCTTCAATTTAAGGCATATGAGTGTGTAGATATTTTATCTATAAAACTGTCAGATTATCTGGCCCTGTTAATTAACTCCAGGGTCTAGAGAGAGTACAAAAATGCCTGTACAGTGTGTTTTAAGGGCTTGTCCTCATGTTTGTCATTTCAGTTAAATATTTTCTACGGATTGCTTTATTTCCCCCTTCCCCCCAATAATAGGTTTATATTCCTGCAACGTTCCCTTTGTTCAAGGTGGTAACCCGCGGAATAAAATGCCAAAATGTAAGCGTCTTGCAAGCAGAACAGTGGTTGTGTAACCTGCCTGGAGCTTGCACGTCAAGGGCAGAAAAGAAGGGAAGTGCACTCTGTGGAAGAAACGAGGGCCGCCCGAGGGTTCTCCTTCAGTTACGCACGGTCCGGTCTGCGGTTGGGCCGCGGGAATGCCCGCGGTCGACCCCCACCGAACTGCAGGGCCACGCACAGCGGCCTGACAGGTTAAGTGCAAGTCAGACTGCCTGTGAGGCAAAGGGAGGATGTTCTCTAGAAACCCAGTTTTGAGTGTTTTTCTCTAATTCTTGTAGATCCAAATTTTTTAAGTAGAAATTAATACCTTAATAGCTGCAGCTTATTGAGAGTATAAAAGGTTTTGAGCACAAAATATGCAGCACATAACTTTTCCAAATTGTGTGTGTGCATAGAAAAGGTTAAAATACATTCAGTTGTTGTTGCGTTCATTTCTTGTAAAGATCTTCCTATATTAGAGAATAGACCCTTTAACAATGGCTGCCTTAGAAACAAAACAAAGCAAAACAATTGTCTTATAATATTAACTGTCCTAAAGAACGTGTGTCTTGCAAATGCTGTGGAACTGAATATTTATTTCCTTGTGAGTATTATGACCGTTACCAAAGGACTCAGCCAGGTTTAGGGCTCTTCCGAGTCGATCATGTTGAGAGAGGGACTCATTGGTCCCAGTTTGTAACATGGGAAGAGTAGAGAGAATTAAAGGTGGAAATCGTAAATGCTTTTCTAACAGGGTTATGCTATTTTTTTTAAATCCTCTCACCCAAGGACATTTTTTTATTGCTTTTAGAGAGAGAGGAACAGAGAGAGAGAAACATCGATGTGAGAGAGAAGCATCGATTGGTTGCCTCCCATGTACGCCCAGGCCAGGGGTCAAAACCGAAACCTCTCGGTTATGGGATGATGCTCCAGCCAACTGAGCCACACAGGCCAGGGTCAGGGCTATGCTGTTTTAGAACACAAAACGTATTTTTATTTCTTTCTCTTTAAAAAATTAAGTTTTTATTATTGTCGTACATTTCTCAATATTTGACTATATTTTAACCATTTTATGTTCTGAATTTGGTTTTTTGTCATAGATATTTTATCCAGAATTTTACTTGCCTCTATAATCTGAAAAATGGGTTCGAGTGTCCTACTTGCTGTCCTTTAGAGGCTGAGGCTTCATTTCTCTGAGCGGAAGGCTCGTCTAGCGATGTAGTTATTTCAGTATTTATTTCTATTATGGAATCCCTGGGGTTCGGAATGTAACTTTGTACATGAAATATATATAAATATGTATATGAAACATGTATGAGGTCTGGTGTATTTTGTTTGTTGTTTTGCCTTTCCCAGGAGTCTGAACCTGGTTTTTATTTGAAAGTCCATCATCTTCGATTGCACATGTCATTTCAGAGGGGCCACCCCCGTTTGGCACTAGCTGCGCGTGAGCCGGTGAGAACACAGGAAGAACATGTCTGCTCGGTTCACACATTCACATAAGACATGAATGATAGACAGCAGGGCTCTCCAGCAGTGTGGGTGTGCTGAGGGGGAACCCACACGAGGTGGCGGGGCACGCCCCTTGCCAGATCACCGATGACGAGAGTCGGGCTGCAGTGCAGATGCGAACGAGACGGTGCGCTCGTTTGCGGTCCGTGTGCTCGGGAGAGACTGTGGAAGGAAGGGCGATTATACAACGAATCATGCGGTGGCACAGCGTGAGTCCACATTCAGCGCAGTGCTGCTTAGACTAAACCGGTGCATTTTGTTTACGAGAGATGCGAGTTCCTGACGTGACAGTAAAAGTCGCTCTGATTGGCATGTTAATAGGACAGTTTGCTAGACAAAGACACAGCCATCTATCTAGTGAGGTTGGATGCTCTAGAATACAATAATAGCCAGGCTCACTCCTGACCTTGCCTAACTGCCCCTTAAGCCTCTGGGACCTGCCAAGCCATTGTTTTGGAGGCTGATTAATTCTTTCCAGCCCCGTTCAGTCATCTTCCTCATCCGCCCGGTCTCCAGTGAGACCTGGAGCAGCAGCACAGGACAGGAAATGCCTGTTTTAATTTTGTGGGGGGAACAGGACAGATGCTGTCTTGTCACTGGAACTGCCTGCAGTCCCACCCCGTGGTGAATCTTCCACACCTTAGGGAGAGATACAGCCGAAGTCCTCGACCCCAGCCCTTCCTCACCCCCCGCCCCCCAGCGCCCTCCTGGGCAGTGTGGGTTTGGGAGCCCTGGCCATCACAGAAGGCATGAACTTCATCTTCCTCAGTGGCCATTTCGTTAGAAGAGGTTTTATAGTTAGGGAACTTGACAGAATGCCTTTCATATCCGGTCGTGGCCATTCGGTTTTAAAGTCAGTTCCTTTGCAGGCACGGTGGTGGTGGTGGTGGTGGTGGTGTGGCAAAGAAGGCTGTAGACCCACACGGGCTCTGCCCCTGCAGTGACCCTAGACAGGGTCATAGTGCCCTGAATCACCCAGGCAGGCGTCAGACTCCACCCCAGACCTACCTGCTGAGTTGGATTCTCTCGGGTCTGAACCCAGGCATCTGTGAAGTGTCCCATGCCGTGATATGTGGCTATGGTTGAAGAATGCTACTTAACATCTTTGGACCTTAGTTTTCTCATGTGTTAAAGGTAGTGGCTTATCCAGGTGATCTAAGAAAAATCTTCACTCTAATCCCCTCTGGTCCCGTGATCCTGGCTCTAGTTTGCATGAGTGTGTTGTATGTGTGGACCCACCCACACCTGCTTGCAGACCCAGGGGAGCCCAGTCCCCCAGGAGGCCCAGGTATCTGGCGGGTGGGATGTCAGAATGACACAGTAGGAAAAGGAGCCAGATCGTTTAGCTCCTTGCTTTTATGTCCAAGCGGAACACTGGCTCCCATCCACAGGAAAAAAAGTTAAATACGATTTGATGTGAGGCCTCAAAGGAGAGGTGCACCAACCAGCCCCAGCTCAGGGGGGCCAGCAACTTTATGGAAAACCCACCGTTCTCAGCTTGGCCAGGAGCGGGGAGTGTGGCCGGAAGCACCCCGGAGCTAGTTCCCAGAACAGACTTACTTCCTTCTCCCTCTGTCTAAGGGCTGTCCGTTGTGTACCTGGAAAACGGTTACCCCAGTGATCTGAGTCTTACACTGGGAGCTGGAGAGCCCTGCAGCTGGATTCACAGACGTCTGGTTTTTCAGGAGCACAAAGCTTCGTTCATTCTCAGCTCCTCGTTACCAGCACATGGGGACCTGTCCGCAGGCTCACCCCAGGCCCAGGCAGTGCTCTTTCGTTTTTGATTCACGAGTAATTGAAGCTTAGGGCGCTTTGAGCCTGCTGCTGCAGTAAAAGCTTAAAGAGAATATTTTGTCTCCCATTCACTTGGTAAAGTGGTTTTTTCATAGAAGAAAGCTGCGTTGCCACCCTTCAGGGCCAGACAGGCCTCACGGTATTCGTGCAGATGGAAAAATACTCACGGAGCCGTTGGAATGTGGGGCGTGCCTTTGTTCACAGTGGACAAGCCACACATGCGAGCTGCGTGTGTATCTGCATTTCTCGTGTCATGGCCCCTGCTCCCCAGCGCGGCACCCATCGTGGCACCTGTCCCCTTGCGCGTCTCCCGTTGTCGTCGCCCCCAGCAGGGAGTCCCTCCCTGTTTAAGTACTAGAGGGGAACAAAGCCGGAAAACTGCCAGAACGTTACGTAACACAATTCCACGCATGCGAGCCCACTTCATGTTATGGGAATGGTTTCTCGGACCCAGTCTCAAGGCTTTGAGAACACTGGTTATCAGGCCCCTCCAAGGCTGTGGGAACGCTGCTTCCCCTAGCTGCCCAGACACCTGGGTGAGGAAGCCAGTCTGCCCCCACTTAACCTACAAAAGCTGTAACCCTTTACTTGTTACCATGACCAGTTTGTGTTTACGTGCCATCTCACAGTTTCTCAAGGTGTTTACTCCATAAATTCCAAGGCAATCGGCAAGCAGCCCTTTGGAGTGCTTTACCATCCACAGGGGATCTAGAGGCCAGGTCGTAGGAGGTGGCCCGACCCCTGTAAACAGGTCCAGTAAAGGCCCAAGGTCCTCACTGGAGCGAGTGGGGAATAGCCAGATCACCTCAACACTAGAGGCTACTACGGACGTACTGGATACTTTTAGATCTCAAGTGAGAAACCTGGGTTTGAATCTGGGGTCTACTGTTACCTAATTTTGTGACCCTGCACTAGTCACTTAAATTACTGTTTCCTCACTGTACAAAGAGAGTGACTCCCCCCCCCCCCCAGCGTTCTTGGGGTGGCTGAGTGAAGTAATTATGTGACAGCACCCAGCACACCGCCTGACCCCTAGCAGGCGCTCAGCAGCAAGCTCTGGAGGTTCCCAGGTGTCAGGTGCCTGAGCATGAGTAAGACCCCCTCGAGAGGATGAGGAGGGAGACACACGAGGGGTGAGTAGTGATTGAGTGCTGGGCGGTGCAGTGTAAGCAGTGGTTGGCCGCGTGGTACTGGGACTGTGTCTGCTGTGGATATTTTGTAATGGCGGGGGGGGGGGGGACGGGACAGAAAAACTGTCCGTGATTATTTAATACAGCATATTCTTATGTCAAGAATATGCTAGGAAACAGAGGTACCTTGGTTCTATGCGACCTTTCTAGGAATACCTTTCTCTGTTGCCCAGCCCACTCCAACTGAAGAAAAAGGAGTGTTCCGTGAACATTAAACACGGGAGGAAACCCACATTCTCTTTTGCATCCAAGAGCTCATCAGACTTGTGCGCAGGCGCCCCGAGGGCACAGTGAAGCATGTAAATAGTAAGCTTGACAATTTCAGATGCCACCAAAACACATTAATTCAGTATCTGTTTCCCATAATGCTTTATGACAATTAACCTCCCAGTCACTGTGTATTAAATAAACGAGTAGAGAACAGACATACAGAACTAAATAAAACATTAACAGGTGCACAGCAGGGTGAGGAATGGCGGCAAGGAGGGTTATTTGCTTCCTATGTGATTAAAAAGCTCAGCATTACTCTGCCCGAGCGAGAATACAAACCCCTGTCTGTTAAGGTTGACACAGGACATCCTAGGTGCAAAGACTCCCAGAGAGAATGGAGCAGTTTTTTCAAAAACTCGGAATTTCTTCCTTAGGAGTACTGTGATAATGAGGACATTTGCAGGATTATTGGAAAGATTAAACTATATAATGTACTCCTCAACAGTAAACAAATATTTGCACCTCCTCCCCATGAGGGCTCAATTTCTTTAAAAAAGAAATTATTATTTTTAGAGAGGGGAAGGCAGGGGAAAAGACTGGGAGAGAAGCATCGATGTGTGGACTCACACGCACCCTCTACTGGGGAACTGGCCCGAAACCCAGGCCTGTGCCCTGACTGGGATAGGACTGGCGACCCTTTGGTTTGCAGGCTGGCGCTCACTCCACTGAGCCACACCAGCCAGGGCCGATTTCCTATTGTCCTTTCCCATCAAGCTTGCTTTCCCTACCTTGGGCTAGCCCAGACCAGATGTGACTGATCCTAGAGTGAAGTTTTACCTGCTTGCCTTTTGCTGCATTCTAGCCTATTACACTTCTGTGGAAACAGGCTTTTGCAGGCAACTTGTGTCTCTATTTTGGAGAGCGTACCTGGAGCAGTAAGGAAGGAACAAGGAGCAAAAGTTGGGCGTGTGTCTTACCAGAAAAGACTCCAATATTGACGCTTAGCGGCATCGCAAGCATTTGCCCTTCCTGGAGGAGCCTGGCTGGCTGGCGATGAGCTGAAGTCGTGCAGACGCTCCCAGGCAGCCTTGGCCGATGCAGAGGCCAGGCCAGTCCTGGGATCTGCCCAGCTGAGCTCTTACCGAGCCCGTATTGAGGCTGTGTTTCTGGGGCCTCAAGCCGACAGCCCTCTCTTCCAAAGAGCCTGTGATGAGAGCCCAAAGTCAACATCTCAAAACCCAAGTCTCTTCTCTGGGGGTGGCTTAGCTGTGTCCCTGCAGTTTGGCTTGTAGGAACTAGTAGCCCAGCCAGACCCTTAGTGGAGGGAGTGTATGTAGCTTGAACCACGTGGCACAAGCCAGCTGCTTCATCTGAAGCTCAAGTTTGTCCCTGAGGCAACCCGTCCTCCCCTGCCGTGAATGGGAGGAACGCATCTTCACTAGGAGGAGGGACTGAGTTTTTTGGTCCTGCAGTTCCCTTGGGTGTCCTTTTCGAACTTGAACCTGGGAAAAAGTCACCAAAAGGCAGCTTTAGGGTGTCGGCTGGGCCTTGAGAGAGCGTCTCCATAGGGCCCTTGTGTTGTCACTTGGGGAAAGAAGAGAAGGGCT